CGTTATTGGCGCTATAAACCAATGTTGTAAAATTACTTCTGCCCAGCCCAGATGTGCTCACATGTGCACCCGTGAGCCGTGGTTCCGCTGGAACGCGTCTGACTTCTGACAGACGCACTCTGAACTTCAGATCTTCAGCGCGCTGTCAATAGCCTGAATGGGAATCATTTCCACAATGTTCTGTGTGTGAGGTTTACAATGTCAGAACACCTGCATGAGACAGGTGTTAATTACAATCTGCCAGAAATGACTCGCCACCTTCAGATTTCTCCAACACCGTTAAAAATGATCAAAATACGGAACATATCGGTGTTCGCAGGCCAGAGTGCTGAAGCTCGGCGCATTCTCTTATGAAGCTAGGGCACATGCGGAGGACACACGCGCGCGCGACGGAACATATCGGCGTGCGCAGGCCAGAGTGCTGAAGCTCGGCGCATTGTTATATGAAGCTATGGCACATGTGGAGGACACGCGCGCGCAAAAATTTACTTGTTTTCAATGACATTTATTGGGCCCACTTACTTTTCTTCGGCCCACCCACAAATGAGTTTCTACGCTAATGGTGACACATGACAGAGCTCCGCAGCCATTACACTTTTCACCTCGCGCACCCCCTAGCGGCAGCTCGCGCACCCCTGGGGGTGCGCGCACCACACTTTGGGAATCCCTGGTTTAGTTTCATCTGCCCCTCGGAGGAGACTTCTGGTATCTTTGACCAAGAATCACTTCAAGCTGATGGTTTTATTTAAACCAAAATCGTAGTTTAAGCCAGAGGCTGACTAATATGGTTTTTAAGGCCGATACCGATTTGTAAAGAATTTTGTTGCAGATGGCCGATATCTGAAGCAGATTATTAAGGCCTATATATATAGGCCTAATATATATATATATATATATATATATATATGTTTTAGCAGCACATTGATTGTGAAAGACAACTGAATAGTCAATGTGTGCAATATTAATTAATAGCCAATAAATCTCTCAATATATATTTCATTTGAAATATTTAAAAAAACCTAAAAAAACTGTGTTGGGGTTCGTTGGGTCCTTTCTTTAGTCTAGAAGTGGCGGCAGTTGGCCACACAGACGGCCTTAATAAGGCCACAGGTGGCCGTCTTAATTTCTAGAAAAAACTTGAATTTTTATCAAATGCTGGAAGTATAGCATGTAATCTGTATAATATTTATGTTTACAAGACAGGGAATCAAACAGATTTGTTTTGAGCATATGTTCGCATGTAAATCACCATGGGTGCAAGGGTGCAAAAAATATTGAAAATCACCTAAAAAGTGCTTAATTTTGATTTTGGCTTGATCGCCGCTTAGCAGTGCAAAAAGTGTAAAGCTTTGAACAAAATCTAGTCATCTAAAAACATTTTTTGGCCAATCACGTTTATATATATATAAAGTAAAAATGACACATAGTAACTTAGTAGAATTAAAGACTAAACGTTAACGATTGGGTTTTAGTGGTTGTTTAGTAAGTCAGATAAAGACTACACAAACCGTGGCTCTAATTCACTCTGCCAGTAAATCAATAACATTCAGATTCCTAAACAACAACTGGCACCAATTTAATATTTAAAAGAGAGTTTCATGTAAAATAACGTATTTTCACCACTCGTTCAACCGGGAAAACGAATCGAAACGACTCGTCGTTTGTAATACCATTACATATTAAAGTCCAAAGATGACAAAACGTTGTGTTAATTTCCTTTCTGACAGAAAACCAGCGCGAATAAATAACTTTCGGGATCTACTAAATCTGCTTAACACGAACAGAATGTTAGCATTAGCTGAAGGCCGCGCTAAGGCCGAGGTGTATGTGCGTAGAAACACTCGATGTTGACGCAAGTCTCTCATTCTTCTGGTACGTCTGTAAAAAGTGGCTGTATAGTGTAACAATGTTTAACAACAAAAGATAAGAATTTTTATGAAAACAGCCATTAGTGTACATTTGTTTACCTTCTTTTGAATGTAGTAAATAAAGCTCCTGTGGCGCTAGCATACGCAGTGGTGAATGCGTCATCAACACGCGCGGACGCTCCGTGGGCGTGTCGTCGTCCGTGCGCGACAGAGAACGTCGAGTTGAAGAGAATGGCTCGATAAATAAGGTTTCATAAATTTTGTATTAGATCGTTGTTTTTCACATGAAATAGGTAAGTATTTATACTGTTTAAACAATGCTGTATATGTTTGTTGAAATAAGCGCCGACAGCTGCAGCAGCTGACGGTGGTTTGTTGTTGCTAGCCAGTTCCACGGCGAGCTAAAACTGACTCAACAATACCTGTAATGGTTTTGTGTTTTAATGGTGAGCTTTTATAAGAAGCATTTGCTTAAATATAGGGAATTATTCCAGATATCTGTGCTGCTGTTTAACGTATTGCAAGACATAGAATGGAAATGGGTTTATGCTGACAATTGTTGAATTTTTGTCCCAAATAATAATAATAAATTACAAATTGTTGGAATAATCTTTCTGTCAAAGTGCGTAACGATTTCATCCTCATTAAGAGGTGTAAAGTAGGGGTTCACTGATTTATCGGCCCTGATCTTGGGTATTTTTCAAGATTGTTTATCGGCCAAAAACTGCAATTGGCGCACCCCTAGTTAGTGTTAAAGCAAATAATTCCTATTTTTTGGGACGATTGTGTCAAAACAGGTACAAAAGTTTTGTATTTAAAATTATAAAAATGAAAGTCTAAAGGAACAAATGTGATTTTGTAGTTCAAACAGTAATGTTAAATATGTTCATTAATATTTGATATAAAAATAATGATTTTCTCAATAAAAGGAAATTGAAACTTTGACGTAATCTGCTTAAAGTTAAGACAACATTGGTATCGGTATTGCAAGTCAGGTTTTTCCTCAAGATCGGCAAAAAACTGCAATCAGTGCACCCCTAGTGTAAAGTATTCATCCACTGTGTTTTTATTAAGTTTTCTGTAAACTTATAATACTGACTCAGCAGTTCAGGTAAACAGATCACTCTTTATGTTACAGAAACAACTAAAATCTATCAGGGATATTAAAACAGGTCAAACTAGCTTCATCCTGTTCAGAGAAAACCCATGATAAATGACGAATTCAGCTTGGATGTTCTCAGGAGCCCTAAATATAAAAAATACAGCATTTTGATCGTACACAAGTCTGAAAACATTTTTATTGGACAAAACTAAATGCAGAAATACATATTAATGATAGTGAAACAGAAATCTGTAGTTAAATGTGGAAAAAAGCAGAAAAAGATCCTCGTCATAGATTTTTCTTTTATTTTTACAGATTTTTCAGCATCGCATGTAACAAACTCAAGTGGATCGATGTCTTTTCTTGTAAGTGTTTGCTGAGTCATTCCACACACACCGGCCCACAGGGCTGCTAGCCCAGAACACGATTAACTTTCATCAACTTTATGGAATTGTTACCAAAGATTTCCAGTAAATTTAATCAGTTCCCGAAGAAAGATTTTATCTACACAATGTTATTTAATGTTAAAGTTTATACAATACAAACATATTTTTATTTGTTTTAATTATATTTTTGTGGCTTTTTTCCTATATAAGAAGATACAAGAATCTTGCTCATCTGTAAATTAAGTTCTCATCATTAACACCTGCAGTCACCAACAAGAAACACTTTCTCTTTGTGTTGCTCTAAAATATTTTCTTACTCTTGCTTGCATTTCTCTCTTTTTCATGCTTGTTATTAACCCTCTGTGTCTGTCAGCGTTGGGTATCTGAGAAATTGAGTGTGGAGAGCCTGCGGGAGTTGGAGTTATTTGGAGGTGAGGTTCAAGTTTTTAACGGGGTGTTTTAGCATGCTCAATTACTTCCGGCAATAGCTTTTATTTCCCTTGAGGAGACAAAAAAACAAACAATCCAGTTGGTGTGCGCTATCCTTTGAGTGCTCGCTGTGCTCTGCTTTCAGATGCCATCATAAATGTATCGCTCATCATTCTTGTCTAACCTGTCTTGGTCTGCATCGTGCCATTATTTCTGTTCGTCTCAATGTTCGATCAGAGAATTTTAAACAAAAATCACCTGCTAATTAAAATCTTGTGCATGCTTGTTTAGGAGAGAAGGTAAGGAAAACATTAAAGGAATATATAGAATTATTAGAAGGTTGCTCTCATTTTACAGGTGAAGTTTAGTTTGAATTAAATTTAATAATTTTATATTCAGAATTGTTGTTCTCTTTCTTCGGATGTTCAAAGCTCTGCCATTGGTGCAGTCACAGAATATTTTTAGAGACTAAAAGTACATTTTTAAAGAACCAGAAGCGCATTTTTTTTAAAAACAGCGATCTAAAAACCATATTTCACCCGGTGTCTTTAAGTCTACCTGTTGAGCTTATTTGATAATTATTATGATTTGCTAAGTTAAGGTACACAGATGGCTAATTTATGATATCTAAGTCCAGAGGAAACTGTTTCCTGGTTAATGCGTGTTGTTGTTTCTTCACTGAGAAACAATTTTTACTTATTATTTTTTTAAAAGATCGGCCACTGAGATTTTCATGCAGGCTGAACATGAAAATAGTCTCCTACACCTAACTCCTGCTTTAGCTTCTGATAGAAAATCGATGGTGAAACTCCAGGATTAGAAAATCCTGACAGATCTACGTCACGCTGTCACTTAACACTCATGGACTCACCCATCTCGACTCACGACGAGGAAGGCTGTTGTTGGTTTAGCGTCCAGGAGAGAGCAGAGAATGCCTCGGCCACCACACAGCAGAACTCCGCCAGGCTTGTGTTTTTAGTACAGATAAAACATCAACACTGGTAAGCAAACAGTCTGTGGTAGAGCTGCGTTGCTGTTAGCCAATCAGAGGCGAGACGTCCAAATAACTGGAAATAAGACTCCAAAATCCTGTTTTCTGAAGTTACTTTTGGTGATATTATTTAGGTAAACAGTGTTATTATTATTATTATTATTATTATTATTATTACTTTACAGAAGGCTTTCAGTATTGTGCAAACTTTAGTTTTCTCATTTTTTTGTTATTCCATTTGTAAAATTCCCTGGTTTTCATCTTTGTTATGTTTGCAGGCCGTTGGTAACTCGTGCACGTTTGTGCAGCTTCGGTTTTGGCTGTGCTCACTTTCTGTTGCCTGGCTCTTTAAAGGACTTGCGGAGTAGCTGCTATAAATCAGACTTTCTACAGACTGGTGTCCTTAATGGTAACATGGCCCTGCTGCTCTGTGTGTGGCCACATGAACAACAAAGCTGCTTGTCGTGACAAATGCCACAACGCTAACCCTGACATCCAGAGACAGAGCCTACCAGCTCTAAAAGCCCCTCTCAACGCAGACCCTTCTCTTGTTGTCGTTGTTTACGTGTTTTTGTGTCATTGACTTGGTTTTTCTGCCCCAGAGCAAGCTCAGGGACTCTCACACAGGAAAGTAAGTGTGGTACTCCTGTCACTGCATCGTCATCCTCACGTGCCTTTTGTGTCTGTGCATGCATGCACTTATACCGTATGTATGTGCACACTAGGATTTCTATATGGAGAAATCTACAGCCCTCCCAAGGCTTTGCACATGTATGTATGCATGAGTGCCCAGCACATGACACATGCTGCTGCACATGCTTGTATAGGTGGGCCTTTTGGTCACTCACGGTAGCGCCTGCTGCTTATTCAAGTTGTTATTCCTCACAGAGAAAATAAAACTAATTTGTCATGTGAGTTAAACGTGTTGCTAACACATGCTGTGCTCCATGCAGCCGCTCCGTTTGGGGTTTGGATGTTTTTCGGAGCTCCACTGAAAGTTTCGACCCTTTTGGTGTCGATGAAATGTTCTGTATTTGCTGTGTTTTTCTGTGTAATGACTGGCAAGCAGACAGCGTTCCTGCAGCCTGTAGATCAGTGGAGTTCGTGGTGGAAGGCCCTGGGGATTCAGATACTCTCGAATCAGCGGCTGTCTCGGCATGCTTGGCCTCTCTGCTGTGACGGTTATAATGTTAACTTTGAGTGGGGGGGGGGTGCATAAAGCCAAAATATCTAAATGAACATTCACTGGAATCATCAGCACGTGGAACAAGCTTTGGTTTTACCCGCAAAGGTGAAGTTGGCTCTTTTCATGCTGCAGGCTTCTTCTCATTTTGGTCACCATGGAAACAACTCAAGCAATCATTCATTTGCCTTCATTTGCCCCCACAGCTCGCCGCTGCGGTTGGTTAATTTCCATCACTTTAGTGATAACGTGATGGAATTCAGGAGTCCTCACTGCCAACAGTTTTACCGTTTCCTGTCACATTTTTTAGGATGAGTAAAATCATTTGTCGTTGACGAGTTGAGCACAAGCTTCACGTTTCTTTTTAATAAAACATTAGTTTTTTTTTTGTTTTTGTTTTTTTAATAGAAAAATCACAATTTTCTCTGTGTTTCACTAATGTTGTGCCTTTCTGAGGCTCAGGGCTACTCTTCACTGTTTAGCAGGACTTTTAACCTGATCACTGAATCGTTTTGGACCAGCAGTTAGTTTTCCTGATATTTATCATTTCACAGATGATTTGGGTTTCATTAACGCTGTGGTATTACGTCAGGCTGCTGTTTTAGTGACTGACCCAGGAAGCCCTTTTTTGAGAGCGTCGGGACATCATTTGGCTATTTCTTCCTCTCCTCCTCCAGGCTCATGAGGACAGTCAGGAGAGTCTGACCTCTCTGCCTCATCCAGACAGCATGGGCAGCTTCCTCCCTGACAGCAGCTCCTATGAGCTCCTCACAGTTATTGGTAATTGCACACTGAGGCACGAGCAACACGTTTTTACTTTCCTTTAAAAAGCAGCCGGATCTGTGCCACCAACAATTCACTATGAACTTTATCATTTAGAATTTAAACCTAAACAAAGTCAGTGTGTGTTTTGAAGGGAAGGGCTTGGACGATTTGATGACGGTGAATATGGCTCGATACAAACCCACCGGGGAACACGTGGCCATTCGGCGGATCGACTTGGAGTCGTGCACTAATGACATGGTGACCTATCTGCAGGTCTGCATCATTACTGGATCCTATGGGTCTCTTCCTCTGCTTTCCTGGGAACTCCTTCTCTTCTGTCTGTATTGCACAGCTTCTTCTGACTTCTGTCGGGTTACCGTTTTCTAAGATGCATTTCTCTCTTTTTTCCACTAGGGGGAACTCCACGTGTCAAAGTTGTTCCATCACTCTAGCATTCTACCATACAAGAGTGTCTTCATAGCTGAAAATGAGCTGTGGGTGATCACACCATTCATGGCGTACGGTAAGGAAACGGCTGGGATGTAACGGAAGCATCTTGTGTGAATGGAGGGTGACTTGTGTGATTATGTTTCACCTCACAGGATCGGCTAGAGACCTTATCTGCACACATTTTACAGACGGTATGAGTGAACTGACCATTGCATACATCCTGCTAGGGATGCTCAAAGCGCTGGAGTACATCCACCACATGGGATACGTCCACCGGTGAGTTTTCTCAGCTCAGAGGAGGCAGGTCTTTCTGTGTTGGTCGTGGCTAGTAAAGTGTTAAAAACTACAAGAGAGGAACATGAAATGAGAGATTCAGAAATTATCTTTGAGATTTTGGACAATAAAGCAGTTTAAAAAACCACATTTACTTATAATCCTCTTAACTTAATCATTAATAAACAACAAGTCATTACCAGCATCAAATACATTTTTTTTGGTATTTTTAATGTGTTTTATTATTATTATTTTTTTAACCATTGATAGAAAGCTGAATGTCATTGTACTGTTTTCATCTGGAAACCGTCTTGTTCATGCAGGAGTGTGAAGGCCAGCCACGTTTTGATATCTGCAGACGGACAGGTCTGCATGTCTGGTCTGCGGAGCATTTTCAGTCTGATCCGAAATGGCCAGAGGGCAAAAGTAGTCCACGACTTCCCCCAGTACAGCGTAAAGGTGCTGCCATGGCTGAGCCCTGAAGTGCTGCAGCAGGTAGTTTACTAGTTGTGTCTTTGTTTTGGAGAGGTTCAGAAACGGCTCATCTGAAGGGTTATGCTTTCATAAGTGGAAAGGAGTAATTGTAGTAGTCCATATGTTTTTTTCAGAATCTGCAGGGCTACGACTCTCGGTCAGACATCTACAGTCTTGGTATCACAGCTTGTGAACTGGCCAATGGGCACGTGCCGTTTAAAGACATGCCAGCGACACAGGTGAGCAGAGGTTGTGCTGTTCATTAAAGTTAAAGTTCCATTAATTCATCATCACGCTGGTGAAATTCGTCTCCGCGTCTGACACATCCCCGTGGGGAGCGGTGAGCTGCAGCAGTGGCTGTGCTCAGGAACTATTTGGTGGTTTAACCCCCCCAATCCAACCCCTTTAAGCTGAGTGTCAAGTAGGGAGGCTTTGGGTCCCACTTTTTAAAGTCTGGTATGACCCGACCGGGATTCGAACCCCAAACTCCCAGTCCCAGGACGGACACTCAACCATGAGGCCACTGAGAAGGTCGTGTTTCATATCGAATCTGATCAGTTTGACTTCTTTCTCACAGATGCTCCTGGAGAAGCTAAATGGGACCGTTCCATGTTTGCTGGACACCACCACCATTCCACCAGAAGAGCTGTCCCTGAAGCCGTCCCGCTCCGGCGCCGACTCTGGGATCTGCGAGGGTCCGAGAACCGGTGGAGTCCGGCACTCAAACGGAGACCCTTCCTCGTCGTCGGGGGGTCACCCCTATAACCGAACGTTTTCTCCACACTTTCACAACTTTGTTGAACTGTGTCTGCAGCGAGATCCTGTGAACAGGTGGGGAAACGTGATTAAATAGTATCAGACATGATTACATGAAACATTTGTTCATGTTGTTTTCTCTACAGACCATCTGCTGCTACGCTCATCAGTCATCCTTTCATCAAACAGGTAACATCAGGATATTTTCCGTTTAATGAACAATTTTACTTTATTAGCTTAACAAATCTGACACTTTTCTTTTGCTTTAAATTTTTTTAAAGAGAGACTTCGCTGAGAAATTGTTCTTTTACTTAATTATGAAGAATGATCTGTTTCATATGCAGGCCGAATGTGAAAATAGTCCTCTGCCTCCATTTTCTGCTTTTGCCGCTGATAGAAAATAGACGGAGAAATGATCACATTAGAAAAGCCAATCAGATCTACAATGAGAAGAAAACAGATGGAGCACTCAGGGAAAAAAAATGTCTGACCCGAGTGCTCTAGCTCTTTTCTTTCTTTTCCACAGCTGTCGAGCACCGAAGTACAGTTGGATGAAGCGTAGAGTGCTCGTTATAGCCAGTCAAATCTACGTCACACTGACTCACTCACTCATATTGGCTCGTAACCGGGAAGGCCGTTGTTGATTTCGCACCCAGGAGAGAGCAGATTATGCCTCAGCTAGTAGAAGCTAACAGCATTAGCCATTCCACAACATAGCAGAACTCCTTCAGGCTCGTGTTATTTGTGGAGATAAAATGTTGCAGGATGTCGTTGTTAGTTATGTTGCTGTTAGCCAATCAGAGGCGAGATGTTTGCATACCAGGAAGTAAAACTCCAAATCCTGCCGTGTTTTGCCCCCCCACTCCTCTGGCTAACCTGTAGTTCCTGAAACAAGAGCACCAGAGCTTTTACACCCCAGAGGTCAACTCGCAAGGCATTCATTTTTACTAGAGACCACTGCAGGTGTGTAGGAAAAGTGAGTGAACTTGGTCTTAACCAGTTCAAAGCAAAGTTCAGAAAATAAATCTTGTAACTTTTTTGTGTTTTCGGCAGCAGAGTAAATCCGATCTGGACATGAAAATATTCCTCATGATCACATTTCAAGTTCAAACATTGAATATGGACAAGAGGGCTAAAATATAAGCTGCAAGTCTGACTGACAATGTTTGACTTTTTAGATCAAACGCAGACCGTCAGAGGCTCTACCCGAGCTGCTGCAACCCGTGTCGCCCATCACCTGCTTTGAGAGCACCCAGCCTCTGGACTCAGTTTCTGGACTGGCGAGTCTGGAGTCGGGTTTCAGCCAACTGGAAGTAGATGACTGGGACTTCTGAGAGTAGAGGACTTTGCGGGAAAGACGAGCTCAAGATTGTACTGAGCGACTGTGCAGAGGATGGGATTTTACGAATCTTAGTTGTTCTCAGAGGTTAAAAGTGAAGTCATCTACCCTCTTGTTGGTGACTCACTTCACTTTTGTTCTCTTTGCGGATTCTTGCTCTGCACTGGTTTATCTCACACAGGTATTTACACGGATTGTACTCTACACACACCCACGAACCAAAAGGACAACTCTTGAGTTTTCTAAAGGTAGATGTAGCCCAAACCATAAAGGTCAGGAGACGGATCAATGAAATGCTGCTACGTAATATTACCAGGAGATGCTCCACCGTTTGTGTTAACACGATTTGGTCCGTCTGCTCCAGGAGACGACCATAAGGGCACCTAGCAGTCCTCTCTGAGGACTGACAGCATTTCTTAGCTCCGGTCTGCTACAGCAGATGCATCGTCTCACGGTTCAGACTCTTTTGGTGCACAGGTTGTAATTATTAGTTTAGCATTAAGAGCGTAAAAGTTAGCCTTTTCTTCGGCTCTCTGGGTGTTACTGACGTCAGATGTAAATGTTTTCTTGGTGCTGGTTTTGTCTGCATGTATATTTGAAAGTTTGGACAAAGCAACGTGTTACAAATGTAAAACTTTTACTACAAACCCAGGCCTGCTTCAGTGTTTCAACATGATTGTACAAAAGGAACCGAGGCCATGAACTTTATTAGAAATGTACACAGACAAACACAGAGAGGGTTCTAAAGCGTGTTCTAATCTTCTTCGTCTGACGGTGGCTGGTCGGCTAAAGCGTTGCGTTTCTCCATCTTGGCAATCAGCTCTAGAATAAATGACAATAAAACATCAAGTGTGACTGTTTACTTTGGTTTCTGCTCCTCTTGGATGTTTTTGAGCAAATGCATTTACCTTTAGCGGGGTTGAAGACACCATTGGTCTGAGTGTTGCACACGTAGCAGCGCTTTGACTTGCGATAATGCTGAAGAGCACAGCTCTCACAAAAATAGTGCTTACACCTAAGGAAACAGCGATTACCAGCCGGTAATAAACGAGGACTGAAGGAGAGAAACCTACTTACTTTGTGATGATGGGATTTTTAAAAGATTCTCTGCAGATGAAGCACTTGAAGGGCAAGTCTTCATCATCACTGCTCACCTCATAGTTCTCGTCATCTAGATGAAAACACATCAGAAACTTAGTCTAGCCAGCAAAAGAGAAGATTTCAAGTTCGATTATTTACTCACCATTTGCTCCATATCTCCCTTCCTCCAGTTCCCTCTCAATCTGCCAGCCGTGTTTGTAGTCCGACCTGTCATGGAGGAACTTGCAGCTGTCTAATGGCAACGGATGCAATCATGATTAATAAACAAAACCTTTGACTTCACAGTAGGAACGTTTTAAGAGTTCAGATTGTTTTCACCAACCCCCAAATCCACAGAAACCCGTCTCCTTGTAGTCTTTGCAAATATCCGGTTGGTAGTCCCACCGGACTGTAGCTCTCAGGTGTTCAGGAGCTCGAATCGGTCCTTTTCTGTAGCACAGATTGAACGTAACCTTCAGCATCTATAGGTGAACAACATCTTCTGACTGCATGTGAATATCTCTTGCCTCACCTGACCATGCCTGAAGAGGCATTGCCCATGGTGGTGTCTTTAGGCTTGATGAATTTTTGGTAGTTATTGATGCCACGGTATATTTTATCATCTTCTTTACCCGTTAGCTCCTAATGAGACAGAGGAGGGAAAGCTCAAATGACGAAGGTGAGATTTTGATTATTTCTCATTTTATATTAACCAATAGCGGCATGTCCTACCTCTTGGATTTTCTGACTCCTCTCAAAAATAGCTTGAGCATCCTTGTCTCTCTCTGTGTCCAGCTGATAAGTGGCAGTTGCACCCATGTCTTCAGGCCCCTCGGGTTTCTTTTTATGAAGGCAAGGTACAGTAGAAAGTTTTAAAGTAAATAAAAACAACTGTTCAGGGCACATAGTCATGTGTACGTGGATGAGAAGGGTCTGTAGATTGTAAAATAATGTTAAAATTTGCTTTTCTGGTGAAGTTTCAGCCCCTGTATGTTTTGTCTCAACAGCCAGGTTGAGCCATGATGGAAAAAAGATCAGTGTTTGACTTGTACTGTCTGGCTCTGACATTGCTGAATGAATGCAGTCTGAACTCACCGCTGATCGGGAAGACTTGTAAGCAACCGTTATCTTTTTGTCTCCCTTTTCCTCCTCGCTTTCACTAGAAGACACAGCGTCCCTCTCCACTTTTTTTGTCTGAACAAAGAATACATAGATCATTCACGTTGCTGCTTCATAACTAAGTATCTATTAGCTTGCCTGCTCTACCTTTTGAATCATGGGGTTGACTCGAGCATCCTTCTTTTCTTTTCTGACCACAGCAGTCTGTTCAGTGTCACTATCGCCATCTAAAACAAACACACACACACACACACACACACACACACACACACACACACACACACACACGCACGCACGCACGCACACACACACACACACAATTGGTGTAAACAAACATTACAAAATCTATTACAATTAAACTAGGTTACTTCCCCTCTTTGTTTAAATGTAGCTTTCAGGTGATACACCATAATGTTTTTGGTCCTGTTTATTATGGAGGATAATATAAACAAACTGTTTGGGTCGCGGTTTTGATCTCCCTGATGAGAAGCCGCTATCAATTCTGTCCAGAGGACAGACAACGCTAGTTAGGAGAAAATTACAAGGAAATGTATCTAAATGATAGTTTACTACCTTTATCGCTGTCACTTGCTTTTCGTTTTCTTCCGGAGAATTTCTTGGTGGATTTTTTAAACAAAAACGTACAAGTAGCTGCTTTTGGTTTGTCTGGGTCCGCCATGTTTTTGTTGGTGTAAGAACAGTGGCTGCCAGAGCAGTAGCGCCCCCTGTTGTTCTGGAGGCGAAACGTGACGCGCTCCTTCTGCCAAAATGAGATTCACAACCGTCCATAAATCAAAGTCAACGTGGCTCTGGCTAGAATGGTAAACCTAAAATATTATGTTAGAACGGACGAGGGCCAATGAAAACAAAAGAAAAATACAATAAAAAATGAACAGAAAGATAATTCTGACTTTAATCTCAGAATTTTCAGATTTAAATCATTATTCTTTGTTTTCAGTGGCCTTAATCCTCTTCCGTAGTACTTGAAATAATTTTTAAAAGGTAATTTTAGTTTTAAACAGAAAAATAATTAACGCATTTTGATTGGACACTAAATGTATAAACGATTAATAAACAAAATACACAAAAATAGCCATTAGAAATGTCGTTGATAAAAAGAAGAAACGATCTTTTACAAGACCGCTCAAGATAATAATCATGAGCAGGCGCTTCACAAGAACAACAACAACAACAACCATAACAACAAAAAAAAAAAAAAAAGAAAAAAAGAAAGAAAAATAAATAAAAACGAATGACATAAATTTGTAAGAAAATTTTATGTTTAACTGCTTTTTGTCTAAATAATCTTTTGACGTAACTGATGCCAACACAATCTGTCTATAAGTGATTAAATGTATTGTTTATGTCAACTTGATAACAAGAACTCAATTAGTTTCTGGCTTTCGAGAGTAGGGTTTTTTCCGACCTCTGCCGGTCAGAGGCGGTTACTACAGTGTTCACATAAAGTTGAACAACACATAACCAATTAGCACTTCCTATAAATCCTTTCAAAATAAAAAAAATAACAAGAGGTCAGAAGGTCTGCAGTTATATAAACTACACAACCGATGAAGCTTAATAAATGTATCATAATTATCTGTGTTAAACAAGATTAAATTAACGCGCTAAAACAAAAACTATTAGCAGCATTACAAACACATCAGATCATACGCCCTCTGGTGGCCTATTGTCCCTCTGCTGTAGACTCAGAGGAACATCAAGTAATTCTTTTTGATTGTGAAATTTAACTAACAAGTTTGTAATTTCTTCTCAAACATTTCAGATATAAAACAATTTAGGCCACTATCAGGTGTCTGCCCTGGGATTGGGAGATCGGGATTGAATACCGGTCTAGTCATACCAAAGACTTTAACAAGGAACCCAACCCCCCCCCCTGCTTAACACTCAGCTTTAAAGGGTTGCATTAGGGGGTTAAACAACCAAATTACTGAGCGCAGCCACTGCAGCAGCTCCCTGCTCTCCATCGGGATGTGTCAGATGTGGAGATGAATTTCACCAGTGTGATGATGACTATGGGACTTTAACTTTATTATTTGAACACACACACACACACACACACACACACACACACACACACACACACACACACACACACACAAATGTTTGAGGTCATTTTTGTTTTAAACCGGAAAATAATGCGTTTTAATTGGACAATAAATGTAGCTATAAACTACTGAAATAAAAATAAAAAATAAAACACTAAACAAAATACAGTAAAACTATAACCATTAACCAATAAAACACAGTTCTGAATCTCAAATAAACACTTCTACTTGTAATTGTTCATTTGGCGGGGCTATACGAAGTCTATGAAGGCATAAAATGAATCTATTCTTCGATATTACCATATAGAATGCAAACCGAAATATCAGAAATGAAAGCATTGCTGGTTTCTAACAGTTTTATTAAAAACCGATAGGAATTTTGGTTTTATTTTGAAACGCTTAACCGGAAACAGCTTGTTATCACGCACAACCTGACGCTGATACCTCCGGTCGTCCTGCAGCAGCAGCGGAGGCATCCTTGGCGTCCTGCGGAGGACAGCGGGTGGTGGTAGGACGCAGGACCGGTGGAGGGGGCGGTCCTGGCCTGGGCACGGATCCCGAAGAGGCCCCGGGGCCGCCGCCGCTTAATGGAGTCGGGCTGCATTCAGACAGCAATGGCTATGGGTTTGACATCGAAGAAGGCGTCTGCTCGGAGCGTCGCCGTGGAAAGAAAAAACCTCATCACGGTCTGCAGGTATTCATCACGACCTCATTCCTGTTTCAGCGGGTCCTGACCAACGTGGGTCGGGTTTTCTTTACTGTAAAGAATATAAATTATACACGGTGATGTACGCCTATTTTAGAAGTGAAGGTGAGACAGGTGCGTTTCACCTTCACATACCTCTTCCATCAGGAAGTGAAAAAACACTTATTGTGACCATCACCTGAAATAAGACTTCACTTTGCTGAAACACTGATTTAAACATTTATTTACAACCAAAGATCTGATCTGAAGGGTTATTTCAGCTTCAGAATAAAAGGGTGTCACTGCACATGTTTGCATCCGGTGGGGGCAGAAGACGTCATCAGCCTAAAGCAGGTTTTCTCTCTAAGCACTGAGGGTCTGACTGCCAGGGACAAAAGCATTGAGAGCTGCAAGGACTCCTCCTGACATCCCTGGGCCTCCTTTCATCCTGCCTGCTGAGTGCAGACTGGACATAGCTCCAAAGGGCTTCTGTCCTCTTGCCAGAAAGGTTGCAGCTATAAAATATCTGATCTGAGAGAACAGTCGGAGTAACTCGCTCAACTCAACCAGTTTTGCAGGTGAAGTCACTTTTAATTCTTCATTTGCCTCATATTTATTCTAAAATATGCACACTAGTAGTTTCAACGCTTCATGGTAATTCATCTGCAAACGGTAGTTATTACAGTTTAATTAATCCACATTGATTATGTTATTAATGATGTTTTTTGATTGGTTTAAAGGCATTTTTTGCACTTATATTTTAAAACTATGAACAAAAGTTTGGATTAAAAAAATCCTCTTTCATTACAATTACGTTTTTAAATACTTGATTACTTCCTTTGTTGACAATTCAAACATTTAGCCTACAAATTATTCTTGTAATGATAGATGTTAATTACATTTAATTAAGGACCATAAGACATTAAATTTCATATCAGTATGAAATCCATCTTATGGACACTGGGTTATTTAAAGGGTCATTATGGAAGTTTGACAGCTAAAACATGTGTAGAAATAATAAATGTCTTCTTCATACATTCTCCTGCAATGCCCTGGTCCTGTAGAATGAGCCCTGGCATTTTTACTGTGATTGCCTGTTTTTCTGTAAAATCACAGAAAAAGAGAGCTGCTCGGGTCGAGCAGGCTGCTTCATGCACGTTCACGCTCAGGCATAGCCCGTAGCATTTGCTATCCGTAGCTTTAGCAGCAGAGAGAGAGGTAGTGCCACTTTGTCGCTGTTCCTAACGCCTAGTGACAAGGCTAGCTACATTCAGGGCCAGATTAACACTTTGTTGTACCCTGGGCAACAATATTAAAGGGCCCCATCATCACAACCCAAGGATCACCATAATATGGTCACATGCAAAATATATTACTGTAATATGCAGTAAATATACTCAATACTTGAATGTCTGACATCATGTAACCTGCTCAGGGTAACCTTTGACCCACCTCGTGTGGACTGACCAATGAGGAGAGGGTCTTAACTTGAGGCCCTCTCTTCATTGGTCAGTCTGCAAGAGACTGACTCTCAACTGACGTTCAGTCATAGGCAGCGAAGCGTCTCTGTGCAGCGCAAAATCCCGGGTGGACAGTTTGTTTAATATAGGGTGATCATATTTCCATTTCCAAAAAAGAGGACAGGGGATCTGTGTCTATGACGTCACACTATGGCAACGCCACACAAACCACGTTGGGACCTATTTTTTTGAAAGAACTAAATTGATATCAGATTCTGCCAATAAAAGGGCTCTAAAACAATTCATATGTAACCATTTAGCATATTTATTGCAAAATCTCATTTTTCTGCTTTAATGCTGCAACAAGGTTTTATTCATAATAAATTATTACCTTTTGTTTTACTACAGCATCGGTAAGCTTCCTGTGCACAGATTATCAAGGATGCTTGTTTCAGCTGTGAGATTAGACGATAGGATCAATGAAAAAATAAGTTGTCACACACTCCATGGAAACTTTCAGAGAATCCACAAATAGTGGCTTTCAAATGGTTTTGTTACTTTTTGCAAGTTTATAAAAGCAGCAGATGAGACAGCATGTCTGATAATTTAGTTTTTCATCTGATAATATTAGAACATGTCAGTAATGTCTAAGGGGCTTTTATAAACACTGTATAACTAACACTCCTGGAGAGGGTATGAATTACACAGAGGCTTCTGGGGAGCCCAGTTATGGGGGTGGTCATTTTGCCTTGGCCCCCAAAATGTCTTGAAACGGCCCTGGATGTGTGACTGAGTTTTGAAGGTGATCTGAATTTTATCAGATGTATAAATATTACATGTGTGTAACTTATTGCTTTATACAGGTAAAACGTGTAGTGGAGATAAATCTACCTACATTTTACTTTTTGTTTTGTTTTCTTGTTTTTATTTAACTATTTCCTGTCCTGTCTGTCTCTCATCTTCCTGCATCTCCTCTAAACTCTCCAGAAAAACTGCTGCCCGGATTCTTACTTTTTCACCTCATCGGTTACTTTTGAGCAGATCAAAGGGATCTCCTGACTACAAAGGGGAGAGCGCGTTTCGATGCTGCGTCAGTGAGGTGAAATCACCGCAGCACAGGTGATGAGCTCCGCAGTAACAGAGCGCTTCAGGCGCAAATAAGACAGAAAATAGAGAACATGTGCGGACATGAACGATCATGTGTTAATTATAGTTTTTTGGTTGCGCCACTTTGAGAATGGACCGTGCGCTGGAAGCAGCTGCCTGGATCGCTGCGCAACAACGCAGCGCTGTGCCGCTCGCTGCTCAAAAGAGTCCATAAATGATGTAATATCGGTAGAAAACTTTTTTCCGGTTCCCCTGGATGTGTAGGATATCCAACTCCCCCATAATTCGATCCCGGCTCCTGGATGAAAAGCCGGACATTTTCATCAATACAAGAACCCCCAGTCCGGACGCCCGGACAGAGTGAAAAGTGGACATGTCCAGGGAAAACGGGACGTACGGTCACCCTATCCTCATAAAGCGGGAAATTACAGATACAGTATTTTGCTCGTGCCCTTGCTGCCCTGGGCCCTTTAGAGTTCGTGGGCCCTGGGCAATTGCCCAGTTGCCCATATGGTTAATCCGGCCTTGGCTACATTTCTGAGGACCCTTAGCTACTTTCTTCTAGATATTTCCTGCAAATTAGCAACAAAATAGCCATTTTCGCTCCGAACCGTTCTTTGAACGTTGTTTCAGCTGTCATCAAGGATATAAATGTTACAGATACTAAAGACGTCACTGGCGCTTTAGCTCACCTAGTAAGACGTCGGACTCTCGTAGAGAAGATCCGGGTTCTATTCTGGATATGAACATAGTTTTTGTAGAGTTTATTTTTTACATTTATGGTATTTCTTTTACAGTAAGACGCCCACATTTTTATTTGAGACTCACCGAAAGGCATTGAATTCACAGATAAAAAAGATGTGGGTTCAACTTTCATTTTGGAACAATTTTTCAAGCAAGGGAAGGGAATAATCTGAGCATGCAGGAGGACTGACCCATCTTAAACCTTTGTTGGCTGTGCTGAAGAGAAAGGTACAGAACCAAATTAATTATTTAGCTGCGCGTTCCTCTGTCCTCCGGGCCACACACACACACACAAACACACACGCACACACACACACACACACACACACACACACACATACAGAACCAAATTAATTAATTAGCTGCGCGTTCCTCTGTCCTCCGGGCCACACACACACACACACACACACACACACACACACACACACACACACACACACACACACACACACACACACACACACACACACACACACACACACACACACACACACACACACACACACGGGACTGTCTCAGCTGTTATTTTCGTTAAGAAGTGTGCAGATACAGCATGCGCGCCTCGTGCACGAGCCTACTATTGAAGCTGCCGTTACGCTTTTGGCCTGAGGGGGCAATCGCGAGCATAAAAATTCAAAACTCCGTTAAGTCCCTTTAAATTAGAAGATTGGATCTTTTTATTGCAGGGATTTTAAAATAACACTTTGTATTAACTGAGAGACAAGAGAAGAGAGAGAGACTTTCAAACGTTTAAGGAAATTTATTTCTAAATAATTTTAAACAATTTAACAAGACTAACTCTCTAATGATGGATGTTCTGTTTGAATGAAGTGTGTGGTGAATGAGTGTCAAATTCACAACCCTCGCATCTGGAGAAGCAAAGTTTGAGTGGGAGATGATGTTTTGCTCCTAACTGATCAGAGTTTGGGACTTGTAGTCATGAACACATGAGACGCCATTTGTGTCGCATCCACATACCCTCAGTGAGACCTCCGTACAGATCCGGATGCCAGGTCCACGACCCTCCTTGGTACTGGAGCCGATGAAGCAGCGTCGACAGTACGACAAACTAGTCTTTGGATAGTCTCCAGGTAAAAGCGACAGTTGTTTCACAGCGTCAAAAAGGGGACCCTCCTTGGGTCAGCGAGTTCAGCTTTTATTCTGAAAGGTACCGTTGCTTGGTTGGTAACAACGACAGAATTTTCCCAGCTTGATGGTTCTCAGCTTAAAAGAGAAATATAGATGGCCTGTCCATAATTCACTTAACATGCGGTGAACTTCATGGGATCTTGAGAACTGAACTTAAGATGGCGTTGGAACTGTTGTGTTAATCTGGATGTTTTTGATTCTGGACAAATCAAAGCTGACAGATTTAATGAGCACCACAGAGACTCTGCCACGCTTCAGACTAGGAAGGTTGTGATTGGATCAGTACAGCAATGTGTCATGTGATTATTTCCCTTACGTGTGTCAGTGTGTCTAGTGAACTAGAATAAGTCATATTACTTATTAAAACATATTAATCATAATATTGTGATTTCACCGATCGGTCACATTGTATTACTGACTAACAGTTGTTTTGATTAGCTTTATTGAAAATAGAGTTCTTTGATTTAATAAAAGAAAAGTCTCTTCCTCTTCTGTCTTCATTGCTGGAAAGTAAACAGTTTAGAAGCGAATGCATGACCTTGGGGCTGTTTCATGCACTCTGGCGCCGTGTCAAAGGGAACTGTGGAAAACGTTAAATAATCTTGGAGGAATAGCTCCTTCATCACGTTACATTCTATATGTTTACAAAAACATTCAGATTTCAGACGTTTTTTCCTTACTAAAACATTTTGACCTCATTAAAATTAGTGACAGCTGTTTTCTTGCTAATTTGCTATTTAGAAATGTCTCTTATGATTTACTGTTTGTCCTATCTGAGATAAAAAAGATGCATAATAACACCAAATCTTATCAAGTCCTGACCTTATGTTTTATACAAGTGTGTGCCGTATTCATCAACATTATGTTTAATAAATCACAAAGGTGTGTAATATCTCCATTTTACTTTATTATTATTATTATTATTATTAGTTGAATGTTGTACCAATTTTTTAATAAAGCTCACACTCTCGGGTAGACACAAGCGTTTTTATTCCAGTTCCTTTATTTTGAAGGCTGTGTTTGGGGCCTAGTGACATGTTCAGAGGTTAAACACACGAGGCAGAGCATGCCTGCAAACCAAAAGAGAAAAGTTCTCACAGTGGACTCGAAAAACACAGACAAATTAGCTGAAATACAAAAAAAAAAAAAAAAAAAAAAAAAAAACTCATGTTTTCAGTTTGCCCTGATCATTCAAAGACACGATTAATCATTTTAATGACAAACAAACTAGACGAGACAGAAATAAATCTCAAACAGCTTCCTGTCAGTAGTGTAAACTACAGTTTGGTTCCTTTTTTCTAACGGTTAGCTTCTCTTTCCTCCAGGCGTGTCCGTATCGCTGCCCGATCTTCTCCCTCATCACATTTCTGACCTTTTTTTTACAACGCCAGTGTGCTCTGAGTTGATTCAAGTTGTCACGGGCTGTTATGTGGCCGTTCAGCTGACACGGGGTCGTGGGAGGGGGCGTCCTGAATCAGCAGGCTGGACAGTAACGTGGGCTGGGTGTTCCTGTGGTGCATCTTTCAGGATCCAGACGCAGACGAGCCGACCGCGGCACAGATACCTCCACAGTAGGATGGAGTTGAGTGCTGTTAGTGCTTCATTAGTACATCAGGCCAAGCTTTATTCATCCTGATATATGTGTAAATAAAGTCTAACCTCTGCCCCTTCACCGTAAAAACAGACGTGTTTAACATACAATCAGCGCACACAGAGATTAACATGTTCACTTCTTAACAAATCGTTTTTTCTGGGCAAAGAAAAATCTGTTTCCTTTCTGTTTTGGGGTGAAAAGTTCAGATTTTTCTCCTTGTTTTCTAAAGGTTGCTGTCTGAAAGCTCTTGATCTGACACGGTGTGGATCACCAGTACCAGGCACGAGCTCTTCATTAATCTCTGGGGTGTGTTTGGGTGCCATGGCAACAGGGCTGGACTTAACAGAATGAACCCATTTTGATTTGAAACAAGACGCATCTTTGCACCATCTGATGGAACAGTTTCTGCACCGGGGCTTAAAGGCGTCGCAAAACAAACGGAACAAAAATGAGTTCTAATGACGAGAGATGAATTAAGTAAAGGAGCGTCCTGCTCCTAAAACTACGACGTTTAATAAAAACGAGATGATGCGATGGCCGTGACGAGACTCTTCGATGGTTGAAATATCCACACCGACAGCAGTGTTGCAGGATCTGGTGAATCTATCCGCTGTTGCCACTAGCAACAGGTTTGTTTTTGACATGGCTGAGGCTTCCCGTGGGTGTGAGTTTACATGCAGCGCCATGTTAACTGGGCCCAGTTCGACCAGATGTTGTATTTGTTGCGGTCGTTGAGCCGACAGATCAACCGTATCCTCCAAACACACGTGCTGTTACTGGCTGCTCTGTTGCTTTAGCCTGGCGGAGCTGGCTCAGGTAGCTGGTGGTGGCTGCAGGAGGGGTGCTGGCGTGGACTCGCTGAACCTAAGAGAGAGTAGATGAGACGAGTGAGGGACTTCCTGTAAACAAAAGGGACATGGAGGCTCGAGGTTCGAGTTCTGTCTCTTGGCTGGGGCGTGGTTTCAAGACAGAATGTCTTTAACGGTATAAGCACGCATGAACTCAGCTTTCATTAACATAGGGGCTCCCTTTTTGACAGTAAATGCAACCTTTTTGCATCTTTGCCACATTTTCAATAATTGTTAATATCTCTTCTAATTTGCAGGTTGGATTTTTGCTTTGGTCCATCTAACTTCTGTGGAGTTCAGCAGGTTTGACTGAACATTTAAAATCAGTTTAGGGCCCCGTTACCAATCCCCCCCCCCCCCCCCCTCCTCATATTCAGAGATCTGATTTATGTCTCTTAGCCAGACTTTACTGTCCATCTTGAATTCTGATCCATCTTCACCTCCGCTGACCATGAAACACTTTCCTTTGACGTTTATTCATAGAGAGGATGGGACACACCCTGCTTTGGGGTTTGGCTCATTCTCGTGTTAATATTCAGCAGAGCACAAATCTTTAGCTTGTTCTTCTTTTTTGTGCCCATTCAGTGCAGGAAAGGACGTCTCTTCCGACAGTTCAGTGCTGGCTGGAGCTCGCCAGTGTCATCTGACTCTGCTGGTTAATCCAAGACTGAAGGGAAAGAGAGAGAGAATACGAGAGAGAGAAGGAGAAAGACGTCAGGGAAGTGTGTGTGAGCGTAAAAAAAAACAGGTCAGAGTGGATGTGAGGCTGTCTGAATTTGGGTTAGGTGTCACTGCTGATAAATGGAGGTTTGGGTATCTTGTGGAGGAAGCTCACTGGTGTAAGTACAGTAGAGAACAAGAGGGCATTTAGAGGGAGCTGAGTGGGTTTGGCTGTGGTCCAGGCCGAGTGAGAGGGGGGCACAAAAGAAGCTTGTCAGAGAGCCATGCAGTTGTTTTTCTGTGTCAAATCGTACCAAGAGCATGTTGCTGTTCCACTCCATTCATTTGCATTGAATGCCCACAAGCGATACCCCTACAGATCAAAGAGCCTCAGTAGAGCCGCAAACAGCTGCTCTGATCTCCCTTTGTAAGAAGTCACTACATCATCCTTCCACCTCAAACAGGCCTTCTACAGAAGTTCAACTGCTTCTGGTTTGATTTTAAATCCATCACTCATCAGTATGCACGTTACCACGGGGTTAGCACACCCTAGCACGAGTGACTGCCTGAATCCACGCCCTTTCTTTTATCAAACAGATCTAAACGTGGAGCGTTTTGATGGGATGATCACATGTCTTCACTGCTGCTCTCATCTTGCAAGATGTCGCGTCTGAGACAGAAACAGACATTTTGGTTTTGGTTTTTAGCCGAACTGTAGCTTTGCTTGCTTGCAACCTTTTCCCAGTTTTCCCCAAACAAAACTAAAGCTCTGAAATACACCTAAGAGCTGTTTTTCCTTGCAGAAAAAGGTTATCAAAGACCACTGACCTGTTTTCGTGAAAACTGCGGCATGTCCAAACAAAGTCGAAACTCCAAAAGTAAATTTAATCCAGATTTTGCCCTCGGTCGGGATAGACCCTTTGCAGATGTGGTTGTTGTATCCAAACTTTGATGACGCTCTTTTCTGGTCGGATTTGGTTCCCCCCGCCCCAAAAGGTGGTTCTCTTATGTTTAAATCGTCTTTGTCTTGCGTTTGGGGAAAAGGGCCTTCCGGAAAGAGGTGGTGGTGGTGCCTCTGCTGAAGGAGGCGCTGCCCAGGGAAATCTTGGTCTTCCCACTGCTGATGGTGGAGGAGCCCAGAGACGTTGTGCTCCTGCCTCTGGTGATGGACGAGTTTCCCATGGCGAGCTTGGTCTTCCCCCTCTTTATGGTGGTGTTGCCTAGAGTCAAGGCGGTCTTTCCCTCGGTGAAGCTGGTGTTGCCCATTGAGGACAAGCTCGTCTTCCTGACCCAGGTTCAACGGCGGGGTTTGGGACTCACTCGACGCAAAGCATCGCACAATCATGCAGCGCGCCCTGCTCTGCAAGCCCCCAGAGGTAATAGTAGCATCAGCTGCGATCCAGAGTGGACCAGAATGCCAAGCATGGACAGTGCGACCCCCGTGTCACATAATGCCTTCGTTGAGCTGGTCTGCGTGGGCTTTGGAAGGCCACATACCGCCCATGTGTCCTTTGAATGGACAGAGGCAGTCGTAGGTGGCCGCAGCCTATCTGGGAGGACTTGGACAGTGGTGCGATTGTCCCATTGCCACGACGACACCAGACGGTTGAAGGACACATTGTTGCAAAGAGGACAGTCTGCGGTGACATCACTTTCTTCTCAACCATTGTTCCCTGTAGCCTCTGATTGTAAGACTGTAAGACTTTGTGTACAGCTGTAAGAACCATATGTGGAGTCAGCTGCTGGGTGTGAGTATTTGCAGAAAAAAAGGCCGAATGTTTGCGTTTGAGACTTTGATTGCTCTTCTCTTGTATGTGTATCTCGTCGGGATCGCCCTTCTGCTCGCCACCTGGGCGTGGTTCCTTCCTTGTTCAGAAAGCCAATGTTTGTTTTCTTCTTTTTAGTCACATTTAGCACATCTAATAAAAACCAGCGTCTGCACACAAAAAAATTAGCCAAAGCACCGTTTTAGACATTGTTATCTTTATAAGGCCTAATACATGAATCCTTGTTTACAGTCTTGTACAGGAGGGAATTTGCTGTTGATGTAGAGCAGCTTAAATTATGGGAAAGTGGGAAAACTCAGCAACAGAACTCCTGCAGTTATACCAGTCATGTGGACGTGTTGTCAGATTACAGCAGAGCGGCGTTGTCGAAAGCCACGTATGTTCTTGCATCTCTGCGTACATCACACACATCTGTTCACACGTCCCCTCCCTGCCAAGTCAACACACCATAAAGTCTCATCTCGTCACTGTCGCATTTGCATGACACGGTCAGAAGAGCTCGCGTCTGCTCACAAACATATTGCACCAGTTTCCCTATTAGCACTTCTTATTTAGAAAAAAACATAAACTCCCTTTTTGTTTTGCTCCAACGCATAAAAAACCAGACATAGCAGCAGAGTTTTATTACTACTGACCTTCTAAAACTGATCACATAGACATATCCATGGTTTTTTTAAACTGTGTGCAGGTTTCAAGTGTGAAAGTCCCAGTAGATGTTGCTGTGCGTTTCATTTCCCCTGACCAGGGTGGTTTTGATCACAGATACAGACTTGCTCCCAAAAGTGAGGATCAGAGTGATGAGAGCGCTCGTGGTCTCTCCTCGCGTCACCGAGGTTTTGACCACCTTTATGCCGCTGTTGCCCAAAGTTACAGTGGTTCTGCTCCAGGAAATCGAGGATTTTCCCCAAGCGATGAAGTACTTAGTCCTCAGGATCAGAAACCTGCCTTTGGTGAAGGAGGTGTTGCTTGACAAGAACGTAGTTTTCCACTCATTGTTAGAGTCTTTTTTGGGCTGCTTTGCTTTGGGTGTCGTTGCGCCGGCTTCAGACTTCGTGTCCATTTAGGTGTTCCTACGCTTGGCTGTCAATGCTTTGCGGAAGGAGGTGGTGGTGGTTCCCCGGCTGAAGCTGGCCCGTCCCAGCGCCACAGTCGTCTTTTGCCTTTGGATGGTGGAATCTCCCATGGAGGTGGTGGTCACTCCCCTGAAGATTGAGGAGTTGCCTAAGGAGACGGTAGTTTTCCCCCTGGCGATGGAGGTTTTCCCCACTGCCAGGGCAGTCTTGCCCTCTGTGATATTAGTGTTGCCCATGGAAGCGGAGGCAGTCAGCCCGAGCCTGGTCCTGGAAGCCAGCTCCTATCGCACACGCTGCATAGCAGTCCCCTCTGTGGCGCAGAGGGGTGAGCATGCGAGGTCAAACAGCCAAACCAAAGCTGCAGCAGCCAGGCTAAATAGATCAGGCCACGATGTATAGAAGAAGGGGAGGGAATTATTGGGTCATTCTTTGATGCTGGTCGGTCCCTCAGAGAGACAAGATCCAAAAGGACCTGGAAGCACAGCATTCACAAAGGCCGTACAGACAGGGGGTTAATTGTGTTGTTTTCATGGCAACAAAGCCAAGCACTGAAGGAGGAGCTTTGTGCAGCACACAAGACAATAGGGTTACCTCAGCATGATAAGATGGCACGGTTCCTAAAACAAAAAAAAAAAAAAAAAGAAAAGAAAAAAGGCCCCCCCTTTCCTGCCGTTGTTTAGATACAGTAGTACATTTGTCTGGGTTGGTAAAGTAAAGGACACAGCTGCACACGGTGTGCCGCACCAAACCAGCAGAGATCCTTCAAATTAAAACGTTATTCTGTCACGTTGTAGTTTATTCCTAAACTCTCTCTTTGATTCTGTTTCAGATTCTCTGTAAAGACTCTCCTAGAAAAGTACACAGCAGAGCCCATAGATGATTCTTCAGAGGAGTTTGTCAACTTTGCTGCTATTTTAGAGCACATCCTCAGCCATCGCTTCAAAGGTAACACTACAGGTAACACTCAGCATGCCGAAAGAGGAAAACCACTTTGTTGAATGCCAGAAACCTGCTACTTGTGCTGGAGCGTTGATGTTTGATATTTGAACTAGATGTTTTAAATAAATCTAATGCTGAACTATAACTTCACCCGTTGCAGTCACGTTTAACGGTTTGGTTGCTTGGTTATAATTTGAGCAGGTTCGGGAAGCTGGTTCAGCTCAGATGGACAGCGCAGTTTCTGGGAATACATTCGGCTGGCGTGCAGCAAGGTGCACAACAACTGCATCGCCAGCATCGAAAACATTGAGAACATCAGCACTTCACGAGCCAAGGCAAGAAAACCTTATATGAGTAACTCTGAATGGGTTTGTGTGTGTGTGTGTGTGTGTGTTTCTGTTCTTCCTTACTGCTTGTGTCGTCCTGCAGGGTCGGGCATGGATCAGAGTTGCGCTGATGGAGAAACGTCTGTCTGAATATGTCTCCACTTCTCTGAGGGACACCAGAACCACCAGGTCTGACCGAATATTTATTCATTCAGAGAAATCTAGATGATTGATGGTGTGATGCAGCACCTCTGTTGGAAAATTCTCTGTGTGGATCCTGATAATTCCAATAATGGCCACCCTTAACCTGCAAACCCGACAGGAGGTTCTATGATGAGGGAGCCATCATGTTGAGGGAGGAAGCTACGGTTTTGACTGGCATGCTGATTGGACTCAGCGCCATTGACTTCAGGTGAAGGCTTCATTTTGACACGCGAATGAACTCATCAGCCCAGAATGTTATATTTTAAATCAACACATTTTTAAATGTTTACTTCTTTAAACTGGTTATTTTCTAATCTTTTTCTGTGTAAAGAATGGGTAGTTTACATCTTACTTATGAACCATAAAATGTGAGATTTCATAGAAAATGAAATATCAATTTGATGGATCTTTGAATATTTTAACCGGAAGATCAGAACTTTTTATTGCAGGGATTAAGCGACACTTCGTATTAACTCCGAGGAGAGAGAGAGAGTCAGGTTTATAATAGTTAAGAAATTTATTTCTACACAATTTAAACAAGACTAACTTTAACACTCTGTGTACTGATGGAACTAAGGTGGAGTGAGACGTGATGAATGATGATGTGTGTGGAACGTGGTTATCAGAACCAGCGCATTTAGTTCTGAGTGGGAGTGAATGTTTCGCTCTAAACTTTAGTTGGAGATTTATAACACACGAGACGCCATCTGTTGGTCTACGTACCCATGAGGAAGCCTCCGTTAGATCCAGAATGCCGAGGTCCTCTTGGACCCTCCTTGGAACCGAAGCCGGTAGAAAAGCAGCGGTGCTGACCAGACTAGTCTTGGAACGCTTCCAGGTCACGGCCGATTCGTTGGCGTCAGCAAGACCCTGAAGGGGTCGTGAGGTTCAGCTTTTATTCTGAAGGAACCGTTGCGGTCAGGTGTAACTTGCAACAGATTTTATCCAGCTTGTCTGAGGTTCTTTTTGGCTGAAGAGGAAGTCCAGATGGCCTGTCCGAGTCTTCTCTAGAACTCTTTGAACTAAAGAAAAGGTGGCGTGGGATAATTTTTATATTTGTCATATTTTGGTTTACTGGCGAATCAGAATTTGACATGCAAAAGGGTTTATACAAACACCACAGAAAACCACGCCTAGCGCCAGAAACAAAGGTTCTGATTGGGTGAGACAAAAGGAAATGTGTCGTGTGACTTTAGCATTACGTGTCCTTAGTCTCGTCTCTCGTCTCGTCTTCCTCCGCTTATCCGGGTCCGGGTCGCGGGGGCAGCATCCCAACTAGGGAGCTCCAGGCAGTCCTCTCCCCGGCCTTGTCCACCAGCTCCTCCGGCAGGACCCCAAGGCGTTCCCGGACCAGATTGGAGATGTAACCTCTCCAACGTGTCCTGGGTCGACCCGGGGGCCTTCTGCCGGCAGGACATGCCCGAAACACCTCCCCGGGGAGGCGTCCAGGAGGCATCCTGACCAGATGCCCAAACCACCTCAACTGGCTCCTTTCGATCCGGAGGAGCAGCGGTTCTACTCCGAGTCCCTCCCGAATGTCCGAGCTCCTCACCCTATCTCTAAGGCTGAGCCCGGCCACCCTACGGAGGAAACTCATTTCGGCCGCTTGTATCCGCGATCTCGTTCTTTCGGTCATTACCCAAAGCTCATGACCATAGGTGAGGATTGGGACGTAGATCGACCGGTAAATCGAGAGCCTGGCTTTCTGGCTCAGCTCCCTCTTCCCCACGACAGATCGGCTCAGCGTCCGCATCACTGCAGACGCCGAACCAATCCGCCTGTCGATCTCCCGATCCCTCCTACCCTCACTCGTGAACAAGACCCCGAGATACTTAAACTCCTCCACTTGAGGTAGGACCTCTCCCCCGACCCGGAGGTGGCAAGCCACCCTTTTCCGGTCGAGAACCATGGTCTCAGATTTGGAGGTGCTGATCCTCATCCCAGCCGCTTCACATTCGGCCGCGAACCTACCCAGCAAGAGCTGAAGGTCAGAGCTGGATGAAGCTAGGAGGACCACATCATCCGCAAAAAGCAGAGACGAGATTCTCCTGCCACCAAACTCGACACACTCCACACCACGGCTGCGTCTAGAAATTCTGTCCATAAAAGTGATGAACAGAACCGGTGACAAAGGGCAGCCCTGGCGGAGTCCAACCCTCACTGGGAACAGGTCCGACTTACTACCGGCTATGCGGACCAAACTCACGCTCCTCTGGTAAAGGGACTGAATGGCCCTTAACAGAAAGCCACCCACCCCATACTCCTGGAGCGTCCCCCACAGGGTGCCCCTGGGGACACGGTCATAAGCCTTCTCCAAATCCACAAAGCACATGTGGATTGGTTGGGCAAACTCCCATGCCCCCTCCATCACCCTTGCAAGGGTATAGAGCTGGTCCACAGTTCCACGGCCAGGACGAAAACCACATTGCTCCTCCTCTATCTGAGATTCAACTATCGATCGGACCCTCCTCTCCAGTACCTTGGAGTAGACCTTTCCAGGGAGGCTGAGGAGTGTGATCCCCCTATAGTTGGAACACACCCTCAGGTCACCCTTCTTAAAGATGGGGACCACCACCCCGGTCTGCCACTCCCTAGGAACTGCCCCCGATGACCACGCAATGTTGTAGAGACGTGTCAACCATGACAGCCCTACAACATCCATAGCCTTGAGATACCCAGGACGAACCTCATCCGCCCCCGGGGCTCCGCCGCTGTGTAGTTGTTTGACTACCTCAGCAACTTCTGCCCCCGAGATCGGACAGTCCATCCCCAGGCCTCCCAGCTCTGGTTCCTCCTCGGAATGCGCATTGGTGGGATTGAGGAGCTCCTCAAAGTATTCCTTCCACCGTCCGACTATAGCCTCAGTTGACGTCAGCAGCTCCCCATCCCCACTGTAAACAGTGTGAGCGAGTTGCTGCCTTCCTCTCCTGAGGCGCCGGACAGTTTGCCAGAACCTCTTTGGAGCCGATCGATAGTCTTTCTCCATGGCCTCACCAAACTCCTCCCACGCCCGAGATTTTGCCTCGGCAACTGCCACTGCTGCACCCCGCTTGGCTATCCGGTACCTGTCTGCTGCCTCCGGAGACCCACAGACCAGCCACGCCCTGTAGGCCTCCTTCTTCAGCCTGACGGCTCCCCGAACCTCTGGTGTCCACCAGCGGGTACGGGGGTTGCCACCACGACTGGCACCGGCCACCTTACGACCACAGCTAGCAACAGCCGCCTCGACAATCGCAGAGTGGAACAAGGCCCACTCGGACTCAATGTCCCCCACTGCTCTCGGGACGTGGTCAAAGCTCTGCCGGAGGTGGGAGTTGAAGACCGTCTTGACAGGTTCTTCTGCCAGGCGTTCCCAGCAGACCCTCACTATGCGTTTGGGTCTGCCAGGTCTACGCGGCATGTTCCCTTGCCATCTGATCCAACTCACCACCAGGTGGTGATCAGTTGACAGCTCCGCCCCTCTCTTCACTCGGGTGTCCAAAACATACGGCCGCAGGTCAGATGATACGACTACAAAATCTATCATCGACCTGTGACCTAGGCTGCCCTGGTACCAAGTGTACCGGTGGGCATCCTTATGTTCGAACATGGTGTTCGTTATGGCCAAACTGCGGCTTGCACAGAAGTCCAATAACAAAACACCGCTCGAGTTCTGATCAGGTGGGCCGTTCCTCCCAATCACACCCCTCCAGGTCAAGCTGTCATTGCCCAAGTGTCCTTAGTGTCTAGTGCAAATGTCCAAGATTATAATAACTTGTAAAATACTACTGATCACAGGATTATAATATCAAGTAATAACATTGTCATTTCACATACTGAGTGAACATTGGGCTCACATTATTATTGGTAATTAACAAAGTTGTTTGATTATGTATTTATCAAAACAGTTCTTCGTCTTGAGCTGTCCAGAGGTGAAGCAGTTCAGATGGGCAGAGTGCATGAAAGACCTTGGCCACTATCTCCTGTAGATGAGCCTGTCAGAGACTTTATGTCTCTGCTCAAGCAGATGCAGCAGATCACGACCTTTAGGTCAAAAACAGGACATTCATGACGCTACATCTGTTTAGTGTTTTAATTAAAAGGGAATTAAAGAGCTGTCACTGGTAGATAACACGTAAACCTCTTGTTCTGATGAAGGAGCCTCTGTGCAGTTTTTGTTTGAAAGGTGAGACTCTGGATGGGAAATCCCCAGCTGTAATTGACTACACGCCTTACCTGAAGTTCACTCAGAGGTGAGACTGATCAGCTGATCGATCCACGGCGGTGGGATGATCGGTGCCGTAACCCCACTGCCTCTCTGCTGTGCAGCTACGAATATCTTAGTGATGAGGAGGACCGCCGCAGCGTGGACAGCAGCAACAGTGAGGAGAGCGTCCCCGAGCATCCCTACATCCCTTTAGTGACCGATGAGGAGAGCTGGGGCAACAAATGTCGCAAGATGGAGCAAAGGTTTAAGATCGTCTACGCTCAGAAGGTGACTCCCGGTGACTTCACTCCTCCTCCTGTAGCTCCTTGTATAATCAGCTCTGTGTGGTCCAGGGTTATCTGGAGGAGCTGGTGCGTTTGAGGGAGTCTCAGCTGAAGAACGTGGAGACAGAGAACAAGTGTCTGAGAGCCAAGGTGGAGGAGCTGATGGTGCAGGGCCAGCAGGAGAAGAAGGAGCTGGAGGCCATCGTGCTGGAGCTTCAGGCACAACTGTGAGGAAGCATGCACCACCTCTGGATTACCTTCTTTTTGGAGTCTTACAAACACAATAACATTAGAAAATGTAAACCTAATGTGGTTAGAAGAAAAAATACAATTGCTAATTACTTTAAATTAATTTTCATCTATTTAAACTTGTTTTATTAAATCTGACTGATTTGCACTTCTGTCAAACAAGTTCACATAAACCACTCTTAAGAGGGAAAACATCTCCTGAAATAAATCCTCTTCTCTCTTTAGCTCTGCTCTCATGCCTTGTGACTCCTCCCATCTGGCTAAAGATCTCTCCATCCCTCTGGTGAACCAGTGGTCCACCGTCACAAACAACCAAGGAGATGTCAAACTGTTCCGCAGGTAAACCCAACTGCGACCTTCTTTCTGCTTTGATGTATTCAGGCGTATTAAGTGTAACGGGAAAAACATTTTTTCTGGTTGTGATGTGGATGGTGGTGATGTCTGTGTCACCCAGAAGGAGTTTCCACAGCCTGGAGCAGCTTTCTGTTGAAGTGAGTCTGAACTCTGACTCCCACAAGACTGATGAGAGACAGAATGGAGACGCTGCCTGGAGCTCAGCCGGTAGAACGCAACTTCAGCATGCATCACAGTTTGTTAGCAGTTAGCAGCATTTAACCCTTTAACCGACAGGGTGGAGCACATGTATGTCCTCTTATCTTACTACACTGAACTTAAAAGGTCAACTTCATTTGAAATTTTTTTTTTATGATTACTTCTGATTATAATCGGTCACTGTGAGTTTTTCATGCAGGCCGAACATGAAAATAGTCTCCTACACCTATCTCCTGAAGTAGCGTCTGATAGAAAATAGACGATGAAATTCTAGGATGTGAAAATCCTGACAGATCTACGTCACACTGTCTGTCGCTTAACAATCATGGACTCAGCCATCTTGACTCACGACGGGGAAGGCTGTTGTTGGTTTAGCCTCCAGGAATCAGCAGAGAATGTCTTGACTAGTAGAAGCTAATTTTTAGCATTAGCAACTTCACCACACAGCAGAAGCTCCTCCTGGCTTGTGTTATTTGTGGGGATAAAACATCAATGTCACAGGGCAAACAGAGTCAGTGGTAGAGTCGTGTTGCTGTTAGCCAATCAGAGGCCAGATGTCCGAATATCAGGAAATAAAACTCCAATTCTTCCGTTCACCTCAACTCTGACCTAGCTCACTTCTACTTCCTACAACAGGTGCACCAGAGCCTTTATTCCCTAGATTAGGACATACAAGGCATTCATTCCTACTAGAAACCACTGCAAATGTGCTGAACATATGAGTAAAGATGGTCTTTAATAAAAAGCTAATAAAATAAACACGTTCTAGAAAGCTTCTTGACCCAAGTAGCTGGGGAGAGGAAAGTCAGGCCGTCTCGGCTTTAGGCTGCTGCCCCAGCAACCCGACTCTGGATAAGCGGCTGCAAATGGATGTGTTTGAATAAATGTCAAACAATACTAGTTCACATTGTTATGTTTATGCCTTTAGCAGACGCTCGTGTCCAAAGCGACTTATAAGTGATAATGAAGCCAGCAGGTTGCTCTTGAGGCTACGACGACAAACACTAATCAGTCAATCCTAGGTGGCGCAGAGGGAAGTGAACAAGGAGTGGACAGTAGAGAGGGGGGACGGGTGCAGGGAGGGTCCTAGTTTAGAAGATGCTCTCTGAAGAGCAGGGTCTTCAGGAGTTTCTTGAAAATCGACAAGGATGCCCCTGTTCTAGTAGTGCTTGGAAGGTCATTCCACATTTGTGGAACGACGCATGAGAAGAGTCTGGATTGTCCTGAGCGTGGTGTAGGCACTGCTAGCCGACGATCCTGTGATGACCGGAGCGGCCGGGCCGAGACGTAAGCCTTTGCAAGAGGATTCGGGTAGATGGGAGCTGTAACATCCAGGACTTTGTATGCTAGCGTTAGCAATTTGGATTTGACACGTGCAGCTAGCGGTAGCCAGTGGAGCTCAGTGAGCAGAGGGCTGACGTGTGCCTGTTTAGGCTGATGAAAGACCACACACACTGCTGCATTCTGGACCATTTGAAGAGGCCCTTCTAACTGGTCTTCCAGTTAGAAGGGCCTCTTCAAATTGCAGTAGTCGAGGCAGGAGATGAAAGTAGATTGCACAAGGAGCTGGGTAGCATACTATTACATTTTTACCCACACTTCTCCAAATAAGCCACTGATCCACTTTTATTTATGTTATTATATTTAACTGAGTCAACAAGAGTCAGGCAGTAGAATAACGTGTCTGCTAAAGCAGGGATGTGTTTGTATGCCAACATAAAAGCTCTTCAGTAGCAGCCACCCATGCACATACACATATTTTACACAAAGGCAGGCTTGAAGAGGCTCCATGTAGGCAGTTTAAACAATGCATGATCATAATTTGAATTTTCTCTTTGCAGGAAACGATAACACTCCCTCCATGCTGGGTCTGTGTGGCTCCCTGGCCTCCTTACCAAGCTCCAAGTCTCTGGCAAGCCTCAAGTCCAGCGAGTGTTTGGTAAACATCAGTACTGAACCCAGTCCTGCACTCTCTCCCAGCTAGGAGCTCCAAACCAACAAACAGCCTAGAACTAAGCCACAGCCTGTCTGCCCGGTGATGCTGCGCTGACCCGGCCGAATCTCTCTTCCACCCATATCTGCATTTTGATGGAATAAAAACAGGACCATTCTGGATTTTTTTTTGTACATGACACCATTATGAAGCTAAACATTCTCTTTTCTCCTCTTTGCTTTTGATCTCCATCTCTATCTGCTCATCCAGCATCACACAAACCTTTCTGGAAGCATCTGTCTACCTTATTAAATGCTTTCATCTTGCACCTTTTTTGGATCTCAGTATTCCTGCAGTGATGTTCTCTGTTTTAGTGCATCTGGGTTAGATGTCAAAGTTCAGTCCTAAACAGGGTGTTGAGATGGATGTGATCCTCTGAAAGTTCATATCATAACAGCTAAACTAATTAAAACAACAAGCTGTTACGGTATCTGTAAAGCTGTGCATCTTATTTTATTGATTTTATACAGTTCTAAGCCGTCAGATGCTCATTTGGTCCAGTACAGCAGTATATTCTCATCACATGCTTATGTTTTTTGTTGGTTTTCTGTTGCAATAAACTGCCTTTTTTACATGATGTCTTTTTAATTTTTCTTTTGTTGTAACATAATACCTTCAAACTGGATGTTGATGAGTCTTGGAGTGGCTGGTTGCTTTACTCTGGCGCCATCTAGAGGTGTTATCCTGGGAAAAGTTATTTATACTGAGCTCCATTATTATCATTTATTTTAAATAAGATCAAACATGCTTTGAGTTGTAACATTTCAGATGGCACGCATGCCCCTGCCAACTGGTTGCTGTGGTTGCTTGGATGAAACCCAGTTTAGACGAACTGTAATGTTCTGTATTCTTTCTCCTGCAGCTAATTAGAAAGGACTTTAAACCTGCGTAGATCCTTGTAACCTGGGTTAAATATCAGACTTTTATTACTTCTCTTTGATTTTCTGAGCCTCTGTTTTATTCTAGTAAAACCCATGCAGCAAATAAAGAGCAGAATAGTTTTATTTCACTTGATTTCAGACACCAAACATTACAAGGAAGTCACGCTCACCGACAGGTAAAGTGTAAAGACACTAGGGGCTGGATTAAAACTTTTGCACATTGCTGTTCTCAGTAAATAGCTTGAGCTGAAATGGCACAAAAATAATTTAGTAAAATAAAATATAAGTTTCACATTTACATTTCAAACTGAAACATTTAGATGGAATAATTGGTAGCACTGTTGTCTCACAGTGAGAAGGTTGCGGGTTTGAATCCCAGCCTTACTGCTCGGAGTTAGCATGTCCTGATGAATGCTTGGGTTTTACCAGGGAACTCCAGTTTCCTCACATAGTCTAAAACATGCATGTCAGGTTGTTTGGCGACTCGTATTTACACCTACAGGTGTTATTGTATCAAAATGTCCAGGGTGTCCCTTTCTCTCTCCCTATGAGTGCTGGAGTTAAGTAAGTTAAAGGTGCAACACAGGTCCGGCATTTTCATGGATGAATGCGAACATCAAGCTTCTGACACAAATCCATTTCTGAGTTCATTCCAGCATTGCAGTCACGTCTCCGGTCCACCATGGTGTATCTACTATTGCGTGTTTGTATTGTGTTTATGTATTTCAGAGACGTTTGCACACAAACAAATGTGTCCCTCATTCTCTACCTCTTCACTTGTAAGTCGCTTTGGACAAAAACGTCTGCGAAATACATAAACATATAGATCCACTAGGATAAATACAATAAAGTTTATCTCTCACCAAATAGAATGTTTACTAAGAAATCACAATGTAACCATGGAAACATTACTTTGTGTGTGTGTGTGTGTGTGTGTGTGTGTGTGTGTGTGTGTGTGTGTGTGTGTGTGTGTGTGTGTGTGTGTGTGTGTGTGTGTGTGTGCTCTCTGTCTTCTCGATCCCCAGTGAGTCGTGGCGGATGGCTGCTTATACTGAGCCAGGATCCTCTGGAGGTTTCTTCCTGTTAAAAGGGAGTTTTCCTCTCCACTGTCACTAAATGCTTGCTTAGTATGAGGATTGCTGTAAAGTCACTGAAACTAGTCAGTGACTCGATGCAATTTGCTGGTTCCTTTTATAGGAAACGTGCACTATATAAATAAACTGAATCGAAGTGCGTAAAGGTGAGCGTCCCCTTGCTGCACTCTCTAGATTTGAGAGAAATTCATCTGCCAAGAGCTGCCATAGATAGAAAAGACCAAAAATGTCTATATTCATGAATAATTTGGATTTTTTTTGTTTGTTTTATTTTATTTTTCAAAGCCTGCAATTGCAAATGAGATCATAGTAAAGAGTGCCTCTGTGTTTCATCGTTGGCATCATTAATAAAATGACCCAGGACCTTCTGAACCCTTGCGTTGATCTTTTAACGGACCCTGACCCACAACTTGAGAGACAACACGTAGACCATTCTGGATGATCTGGACTTGAGTGGGGGGTGGAGGCCTCTCGATGCGCAGCAGAAAAAAAAACCTTAAAGTGGGTGGAAGACCTCAGGGTGGTGGGCTTCTTTCTTTCAGTAGACAGATGGATGCGAGGACCAATAGGCGTTCAGTCATATTCTGATCCAACCAACCAGGTCAGCCTCCCTCACAAACACGCGCTGCACGAGTTGGAGGTCGGACTGTTGTGTTTCCACTTTGCGCACGAGACAAATAAGCTCCGAAGAGTTTCAGGAGTTCGTGTGTAATCTGTTCTGGAGGAACAACGCCACTCATCTGGATGCTGTGAAACCATCATCTCGTCTTTTTGCCTTTTTTTCTCAACTCCACTCGAGAGTTCAGCTGCGAGGAAAGGAAAATGATGATCACAGAAGGAAGCTCGAATAGTTGGCGCATCAAGGAACTGATGGTTGGATCAGCGCTGCGGATCGTCTGAATGTGTGTAGAACGCTGCAGACACGTAAAGCCGCGAGTTTTTATCCGGTGGGACCAGAGGAGAGGAGAGGGGGATGTCAGGCAGAGGCGGAGGTGGAAGAGCAACCCGGGGGTGCAGCACCCCCAGCCTCCCCAAGCCCCTCAGGGCCACCATTCCCTATCAGCTCCAGAAGAGCTCTGCTCTGCTCTGCAGGGAGCTCAAAACGGGTAAATACACCCACAGAGAACCACATTCACCTCTATCTGCTTCTGATCACTCTGAAATGTTAAAAGGACTGTATTTGATATGGGCTGTAGGGCATTCTAGGGTTCTACAACCCCCCAAGGCTCTTTACAAAAGAGCCATAATATCATGAGAAGTACAGTGTTTGTGTCTAAACAGGTTCAGAATTGACCAATTTTGGGCTGAAGCCTCATGCTAGAAAACAAAACAGCGGTGTAATAACGGAGCAGGTTCAGTTTGACTAATTGTTTCTTTGGCTTGGCTTTGATCTGAAAACTACAATTCCAACACTCTGTGAAAGTTGAGTCAACACTGAAGGTTGTGAACCCTGAAGCACAACGCTCGTCTCATAATGTTATTTGGACGCTCAGCTGCCCCTTTGCACTGTGACCTGAGGGATTTCTGCTGCATGCTTTTGACGCTAACGCAGCTAAAGAGCTCTTTGTTTCTGTTCCTTGACCACATCTGTGGGTTATTTATATGTTCCGTCTGCCCTGAAACGCTGGCTGAAGACAGCAGACTTTGGATGTGCTTTCAGGTTTGTGGTAAATAAACTTGCAGCCTTTGGGGAGTTTTTGGGGGTTGTGCAGCTTGGTGACTCCGCTCCAGGTCAAAGGCATGCTCCTCACCTGCCAGAGGCACTGAAAACCGCATGTGCTCACACACCTCTGCAGCAGAAAGAGGTTTTTACATTTTTCATTTAACGTGCACGATTTCTGTTCCCAAAAGCAGCTCGCCCTCCAAAACCCACCATCCGCCGGACGCTTTCTTTGGACACGATCATCGGACCCTATCTGCAGGGGCACTGGCCCAAAGAGGCAGAGAGCGCAGCTGCTACCTGCGTCAATGACAAAGCTACTCAGGTAAATCCCAACATGTCAAGAATCCATTCAGATTAGTGATAATGGTTCGCTTGATTAACAAAAAACATGTTGGTAACATAACAGAGCTTCTGCTGCTTCACAAACCCAACTCCCATAAAACCTGTTGCTACGTGTTACAGAGAAGAACCAGCAGACAGGTTTGAGACCCAGTTTTTGTCAGCTCTGCCTCCCGCTGACACCAAGTCTCTATGTAGAGGAGGGGATATCTGATGTTGGCGTTGCAGGTGTCTGGTGGTTCCAGTTTGATGCAGCGAGTGGAAAGCAGCCAACTGGAAACAGTTGTTTTTGTTCTTTAAACTGCTGTTCCTCCCTTGCTCCCCCCTCGCTCCACTGTATGCGGCCCCCAAACTAGTGCACAAAGCCCAGACCAACATCACCAAGCTCCACGTCTTCATCTTCGCTCCTGACACAGTTTAAAACCCGCACGAACCCCCATTTTCCTCCATTGTGAGGAAAAGACCCCTCCTGACCTCATTATAGAGGCTCCCCATCCCCCAGTACTCTCCTCAAGCACATTCACACATGCACAGCACCAACCCAGCTCCTTCTGCCAAAGTTCCTCTGCATTTTGTCTACAGCTTTTCCCCTGAGAGTTCAGTTTTTAATGCACGCTACTGCACTTTTTCAGTTCCCGTGTTAGAAAACAAAGTGAGATTTGAGCAAGGATCAGAAATTAACTAATCAACTATGTGCTGATATGGTGATGACGCATCCCATTGCTCCTGCGGATACCCAGTGTAGTTAAAAGTAAAAAAAAGCACCAAATAAACTGTCAGTGAGTCACATTGGTGACTGAAAACTCTTGCAGACATGTCCACGGGGAGCAGAACCAGTGATAAATGACATAAATGGTCTGAACACGCTCAGCGTTTTGTAAACTTAGCCTGGTTCTGCGAATCACTTTACATGTGTTTCCCATTCAGCCATTCATGAACACTCTCACACACCAGTGGCAGCAGGACCGCCGCGTAGCTGGCTCGCCTGTTGCTTGCAGCAGCCGGGGTTCAGTGGTTTGCTGAAGGACGTTAGCACGTGTGGAGGAGTTGCAGATCGAACGGTCTGATCGGTGGATGTTTGTATGAAGAAAAAAGAAATGAAAAGGGGTTTTTGGATCAGAGAACCAACATTTTAAAAACTCTCTATCAGCATTTATTAGACAGCATATAGTTGATCTAATTTTGCTGTTATTGGGCTAATTGTGATGACCTTAAAACGAGACCATGTGTCTGTATTAAAAAAGGTTATGAATTAATTTAAATTATTTTTGAAAAAAGTAAAAAATAAATTCCTTGGACTTTTGAGATTAAACTCACAAAAACAAAAAGGTTAAAATAATATATTAAAAAAGTAGTTTTCAGATAAAACATTTAATGTATTTTACTAATTATTTTCAGTGAAATGGTTATGTCACGTTCCATTTAGGGACGTCCGAACTTATCGGCCTACCATTATTATTGGTCAATGTTGGCATTGAAATGAGAAATCGGAAATGATCGGTCGCGGTTTTTACTTTATTAATGACCAACCCTTTACACACCATGCACATATTACACACCAAACTCTTCAGCTACTTCTCTTCTCACTCAACATGTAAAAATATGACAGATCCCAAGTATAGATTTTGAGATATTTCTGTTTGTTTGCCACTTGTTGACGAACTTAAATTGAAAAAGTTATATAATGTTTAAAGGTTAAAGCTGCGATGGCAAATTTGGAAAACGAATCTGCTTAAAACAGTTTTTTTCCTCTTAACATCACTCTAACAAAACATAGCTATAAATATATTGTGGAGATTTAAAAAAATGAAAAAAATTATTTAATAAAGTTGTTCTCTTGCATTTGTCTAAAAACCTGCACCAGTAACACGTTTTGGACCAAAAGCCACGATTGGACCACCCGTTTGTCACTTCCCTGGGCCCTCCATTCATCACACACTCACACATTTAGCAACAGAACACTACTGGTGTGAGAGGTTGGCGGCTCAGTAACATCAGAGAAGGAGAAACAGCCGGCTGCTACCACTTCAACTTTAGGATAAAACTACCAGAGTCCCAAAAAGAAAAACACCATTAAAATTCATGGACAAGAAAAAACGTTTGGACCTAGAAAATGGGGACTGGTGTTTAGCGCTCTCTCGTTTCCTCCGGCATCACGGGAATATGGTTCTGGTGGACGTGGGTCTAGGGAAGATACCCGAGGGGAGGGGTGAGCGTTTTCTGACCGTGTTTGTTCTGTAGATTTGCTAACAGCTTTAAGTATGCATGATAGGAGGGATGTGATGTTATACCTAAATATAACTATTGGCATTACACATTAAAATTACAGGACACAAAACAGTTAAAAGAATGGAAATGAACTCAAGCAGAAGCTTTGATGTGATTTTAAGCTCCAGTTGGGAAATCGGTCTTTCCAACATCAAATTAATAAAATGTTGGATTTCAGTGTTTGACAGGAAAAAGTCAAAAGTGGCGGTCATTAGCCCTGCAGACCAAATGCTTAGAATCTTTTTATAGGTTAGTGTCCCACGATGCACTGCTTGTGTTTTGAGGAGGGTGGGGCTGTTAGATTTAGATGATTGGGGGGGGGGGGGGGGGGTGATAGCTGTAACTCTATACCAATACCATATGACTGACTCATGCTGTGCGGTGACTTATTTAGCTGAGAATTGGACATTTGAGCCAACTGCACCAGAGACGTGTCTGTTTTTATTTTGCTGAAGGCACCGGTAGACCCTGTGAAGTTAGAGTTAAGGTTAAGCTGAAAGCTGGAGACAAGGTTGAGTTTCTTGGGACAGAAAGCTCCCATGTGATCCTGCTGCTGCGGAGAGAGAGAGAGCTGTATGACTTCATGCGTCACCAGCTGAAACCAGCTAGTGAAAATGGACGCTGCTGAGTGGGTCACTTTGTGCGGGGAGTAGAGGACAGGGATCGTGGCGGTACCGGGACTTCAATTATCCAGTCCTATTGATTAACTGGGGATCGTTCTGAAGATGAATGACACATCGGATTCTCCTAACTTACAGACAGCTCTGATCAACCACCATGGCAGAAGATCAAGAGTCAACGTGAAGAAATTGGTACGATTATCTAGGTGGCTTAAGAGTTGCTCACCTGTTGGATGTTTGTCCTCCACAGTTTGTGACTTTGTGAATAATAGTAAAATATAAGTGCAGTGAGGTGTTGAATTCCTATTTATAGCCTTTTGGATGGTGTGGTTTGGGTGGAAGAGGGGCTGTTTCGCAGCTCCCGGTGGTTTCTTGTTGCCTTCCTCTGTACAGCTGTTGGGAGGCAGGTGTTCAAGACAGCTGTGGAGCTTTACTTGTGTGTGGTGCCCTAAAGAAGTGTCAGGAGTTTGCTGGCTCAGAAAAAGGAAAGTTCCACTAAATGGTTGATGCTGCTGCTGACCTTTGGACCCAGAGCCAAACGTGTCCCTTTTGACAGAAAAAAAAAAAACACAGGATCCTTTATTCACGCGTCTGTGATGTGTGTTTTCATAGACTCCAATTTCCTGGGCAGAGGACACTCGTAGAAGGAGAAGTGCTGGTGGCCACAAGCGCTCTGCATCTTGGGGCAGCGCAGAGCACCTAAAGGAGGTAAGTATACACTCCAAAGAATTTAATAATGATCTGTTTCTCACTCAAACTCACAGCCGTCTCCAGCTGTTAGCTCCAAATATTTACAGCACCAAAGAGCAGAATAAACAACCCTGAGTCCTAAATCATTTTCATCTCGACTCTGCCCTCAGGTGGCCAAGCTGAGGCACCAGCTGCAAAAGCGTTCCCGAAATGCACCGCCCTCCGCTGGATATGAGCTCCAACACCACCCCCTGCCAGCAGGACATGCAGCAGGAACCACCCAGGTAACCATTCACACCTTTTGTCGTGATTATACCAACGTGGAAAGATTGAAAACACCAAGAAACAAGGTACGACTCGAGATTTTTGTTCAGTGAATTTTCTTTTTATAGCACCAAGTCTCTTGAGTGGCGGCCGTTCTCTCACAATGATGATGTGAAACCTCCATTACATCCCGTTTAATTACGTGCTGACACCAAAGCACAAACGAGCTCCTGAGAAGAATCAGATGTTGTCTAACTGTGCTTGTCGTGCCTCTGCAGACGATGTCCATGACGCCTCTGAACAGACTCGCCCCGCGGCTCAGGAGGAGTATTGAGGGCCTCAGCTTGGAGTTGGAGGAAGTGTTTGTGTCAGAGAACGCAGACGATCAGCATGAGGTCAGAGCAACCATAAAGAAAACAAAAATAAAAGCATTTTTGTTTTTCCTTGAATATGCTTGCAGTGGGTGCATAAATTACACATTATTTAATAAAATGTATTATTGTTTTGTATGCATCATCTCACATACATTACACAGATAATTAATTTTTTTTAATCAAAATGGACAATTGTTTATTACATCAGCAGGAAAATCCAAACTTTTGGCCTTTCCTTGTATCGTTTTTTTATTGTTTCCTCTTTTAGATTTTGGATATCCCAGATGGCCACAGAGCTCCGGTCCCCATTCCGAGATGCAGCAGTGGTTCTCAAAGCGAGCCCTCACCTGGACCGTTGGATCCTTCCCTCCTCTCTCCCTCCCAGTCTCCGTATCCTCTTGAGTCATCAATTGTGTCACCTTCAGGTTCCCCTCGTCCTCTGAGTTCATCCCTTTTGTCTCCCCCTCACTCACCCTCTTCCATGGGAGTCTCAGGTTAGCCGTCTCTACGGTGATGTCCTCTTTAACTATGAAGCCCGTGTTAAGGTTCCTACTGTGCAGGTTCTAGTGCTGATACCTCTGTCCATCTGTGCAGACCCTGTGGACTGTGAAACCTCTTGCCCTTCTCCGTCTACATCACTTCCTTCGTTTGCTCTGGAACTTCCTGTGCTGCAGCCCTGCTCTTCCTCCCCTCGTCCCAACAAAACCTTCTCCTTCCAGCGTCAGCCACCAGAAGGCTGTGAGCGAGTTCGAGTGTGCGAGGAAGCAACGCATGTGGTTAGGTGAATTAGATTTGCTGTGATGCCACACCAAAGCACGCACAAGTTCAAACGGTGCAAAAAAAGATGTTAGAAGAGCTTAAAGAGCAAGTCACCCCCAAATAAACATTTTTTTTTTGCTGATAAACTAAATAAATGAGTGTCTAATCGTGCTGCAGACACGTGTCGTCAATTTGGCGCTTCAGTGCATCTTAGTTCAAATTTAAATATTCTGCCTAAAACTGGCAGTGTTGTGCCGTTGTCCGGTAAAAACTCTGCACTGTATTTTAATTTAAATCTGCCATCGCTATTGGCTAAGAAGTATGCTATGATGTAAACTGGCACATTATGATGTCACAATGCTGTCGTGAGCCTAAGTGTGTGTGTATTTGTTAGCGGCTCCGCCCTCTCGGTCTGCCAGGCAACAGCATGTGTTGCATTTTTCAAACATGAAGTGGGAGTGGAGTTAGACTCTGGTAGGGGTTGACTTGCTCTTTCAATTCATGTTCAAATCAAAACAAAAAGGCACATTTATTCGTAACGACATATAAAAACACCAATTTTCAGTCACAGATCAGCAGAAAAAAAATCTTTGCTCTCTCTATTTTGTAAAACACATTGTGCACCATTTTTTCAGCTCAATTAGCAACTTGCTATAATAATAGGAATTACAGAGAGGTCCGATTCCTGATTCAATGTTAAAACGGCTTGCCCTATTAAGATATGCTCACTCCCTGCCCGTCCTGTTTTCACTCATTTCCCTAACCTTCTGAAGCACTGTTTATTTTTCTTTCCTCCACTTTCACAGATTTGTCCTAGGGGTGGGTGATTTGAAAAAAAAAAAAAAAAAAAAATATATATATATATATATATATATATATATATATATATCTCACAATTTTGTTTTTGCAAAATCACGATCACAAGTTTATCGCACTTTTTAATTTCCCTAATTCAGATGTTTTGGAACATGGTGGAACACGGGTGGCCAATAGTTGTAATGTTTTTACCTCTACCAGTAATAAAGACGTTGGCTGGATCTGGGCCACATTTTCACTAGAGTCTGCTATCATACGTGAGCATTCGTAGGTACACAGATGGTGCTGAGAGTGATGGAGAAGAGGTAACAACTCTTTGGGGCTTCAGGGAGGAGATGTTTGATTCAGGACCAGGAGGACAACAAACTTGGGTTCAGCAGTTTGTGAATATAACGTCTGTTATGATGGTGCTGAATGTTGAGCTGAAATTGATAACAGCGCCCTCACGTAGCACTTTTAATTTTCCAGGCAACTCAACGCAGCGTGGCCACTCTGATGTGTCCTCAGTAGATCCATAGGCTGTTGAGGTCAAAGGTGGAGGACCAGTTTGTCAAAACACCTAAATATTACTGGTGTGAATGCAACTGGTTTGGCGGACTTCTGAGTGGAGCGACTGCTTGTGTCACAGTGATGTTAAAAAACTACTCAAATTCCTCAGCCAGCTGGTCAGTACACGCCTGGAGTGCTAGACCATCTGGTCTAGTGGCTTTCTTTGGGTTCGCTGACCTCGGCGCACAGAGCACCTCATGTTTGGCTATTCCAGTGGAGTGATGTCAGAGTTGTGTGGAGGCCAATAAAGAAAGTATATTTTACTTTAGCCTCAAACTTGAGAAAGAAGCAGTGAAGCTCGTCAGCTATCACTAGACCGTACTGAATGTTTGGCAGATTGAACCCAAACAGTTAAAAAAAAAAAAAGGGGGGGGGGGGGGCTGGACCACAGTAAGAAGTTGTACATACCTTTTTGTTCGAGAAATCTGCAATCTGATTTTTTGTTTTTGGAAATGTACAAAATAGTGGTTAAAACTTTTGTTATGATTTGGGATTTTTTTTAAGGTGAAATTCTCTAAGAAACAAATAATATCAGTTCTGAGTTTCACATGCAGGCAGAACATGAAACTAGTCTTCTGCCCATATTTCCTGCATTAGCCATTGAAAGAAAATAGATAGGAAAATACCCAAGTCAAAAAAAAAAAGTCACGTCACACTGCAAACACAAATTCATGGACTCACCCATTTTGGCTCATAAAAGAGAGGGCTGTTGTTGATTTAGTGTCCAGGAGAGGGCTGAGTGTGTCTAGGCTAGTAAAAGCTAACCGCTAGCTGAACTCTTTCAGGCTTGTGTTATTTGTGGATAACATCAACGTTGCACAGCAAATGGACCCTGTGGGAAAGTGGTATTGCTGTTAGCCAATCAGAGACGAGTTGTTCAAATATCACGAATAATGAGTGAGACTCCAAATCCTGACTTTTTCGGCCCCCCACTCTGCTGGATAACTTCAACTTCCTGTAACATGATTGCCAGAGTTTTTTTCCCCCCACAGAGTTTGACTCACGAGTCATTCACTCATACTAGAGACCACAGTAGATTTATAGAAATAACAAGATTAGCTAAGCCCACTTCAATGTCTCTTTATTTCCAGGTCTGCTTGCCAAGATGAACCTCTCCTCCAGCCATCCTGCCCAGACCCCAATAAAGTGAACTTTACCCCCCATGGAGGCTCTGCTTTCTGCCCCGTCAGCCTCCTGAAACCACTGCTGCCCTCCATGGACCTCCTCTTCCGTGGCCTGTCAGTGTCTCCGGTCACTGGCTGCTCTGGTCAGGCCTCTCCTACCAGGCACCTGGGCATGCAGTAGGTGGGTCTACAAACGGCGTCTTTCAGGACTAAATGACATTGCACTGCCAGGACCTGAACAACATGGGGATGTTTTATATGCAGCATGACAATGACCAGTGTCTCATCACTGTCCACCTGTGATCATAAGACTGTGTGACTGAGCATTTGTTGGTAGCATACTCTTGAATAAGTGTTGCCTAAAATGAAGCTTGTTTGATCATTTCTGCCTACGAGGTGGTTTGATTCAGGGGATTTAACCCCACCAGCACTTATTCTGTGCTAGATTTCTCCTACAGGAGACGGACTAGACTAGCTGCCAAGGCCTTAGAAAATGCTGAAATATTTGAGTTTTTGTCTTGTGTTTTCATGAACTAACTAGTTTTAGTGTTTATACAATCTGACACAGGTGTTTGAAAAGCCAAGACGCTTACAACTCATGCTGACACAAATATTACTATTGATCATAACTCAGCATAATGTTACAGGATTAAAACATGAAAAAAGAAATTACTAAATTTCCTTAAGTCTGTTGGATATAAAGAAATGTTTTTTGGCTTATAGTTTATGATGCCTTACTTTTCTAAAAATGTTACTGGGAAGATATTTATTTTTGTAATTTTGTAAGGAGTTACTTTTATGTATTTCCTGAAGAAATCGTCAACTTGGTTTGTTTATTACAAACAGTAATAATTTTTATAGCTTTACTTGCCAGGTAATACCGCAACCAAACTCTGTTTTGTTGGGTCATTATTACAGCCTGGGTTCCTATCACAAAGTGTCAATTAAGAATTGCTTTTTATCATTTTAAAAGCAAAAACACCAGATCTGTGGGAATATTTCAGTGTAATAAATACAACTTTGACCTACATGAAAATATTTTAGTGGTGGTGATTTAATCCTTTTGTTTGGCAACAGCATATTTCTTATACTTTTACAGTCTGACTTGTCTGGTTAATCCTGCACTTGACACGTGGATTTACGTTTCAAACATCAGCGCCACCTGCTTCTTAGAAATCTGCTTTGTGATTGGTTCTTTACTGCCTTACATGGACCAATAAATTTAATCCACATCCGAGGACGACTGAAAGGTATGCGACAACTTCCAGGAAAGACCACACATCCCCTGGACGTTTAACTAAATACGAAGCACTTTTCAAAGGCTATTCGAGCTGAATGAAAAAAAATAATAACAGCTTGTTTTGCTAGGGAAATTGAAGTTGTTAAATTAGAATAGAGTTAAGTAACACTTACTTATTATCAGTGTTTACGTTCTTAAACTAGGATTAAAATTCAGGCGCAACTTAAACACCCCGGGGTCCTTGTGCAGATTTTTTTCAGCCGGTTTTTTTTCAGGTTCTAAACATAAATACTGAACGAAAACACGTACTGTACAGACTATTACACCTTTTCAGCGTTTTATCGGTCTGCCATGAGTTTTTGAGAGGAAAATATCTAAAAATGTCAACAATGGCGTGATACTTTGTTACCTTTGCTTCTCTAGTCCAGTTAGACACCGGTTTAAATCGGTTTTATAATTAGGATCACCGAGTGCAAAACAGTGATTTGACCTCATAGCATCAAAATCTTCAGCTGCTGGACAAAATCCAAGTCCGCGTGAACAGACGAGCACCTATCTCGGGCTCGTGCTACCGGTTATAGTGGAGCGGGACGCCGGTGTGAGAGGCGCGGGGAGCGGAGCGGTGTCGGTTCTCGTACCCGGGCTGGTGGAGGATATCATGGCTGCGGGAAAGGGAGCTGGGAAGCCCGCGTCGCTGTGGGACAATATGCGGATAAGGTTCATCGTTTGCTTCCTTGGAGTCTTCGTTTGCTATTTTTATTACGGGATACTGCAGGAAACAATGTAAGTAGCTAAGCGTGTGGGCTAAACAACGATTCTGGAGCTCGCTAGTCCTCCAATTTACAATCCTCCAACCCTTTAAACAAGCTCTAAATGCACCACAGAACGTAATAAATTATATTAATAACGTCCTAAAGGTTATCCAACTACATAGTCACACACAGTCATGATCCAGATGGTATTTTCTGTAGGTGTCAAGGATCTGGTTTCATACATGCCCGTTGACTGCAGTGAAGCAGCCATTGTTATTAAACAATACTTACAGCTTTTCTTCTCTAATTTCTGACAACAGTTCAGTCTTTGAACCTGCCAAATATTCACTGAACCGGTCAGTGACGTATTTGCTGTGACTTTGACATTGTGTGCTAAACAGCAGTTCTATCCCTCTGCAGCACTCGGGGTGATTATGGAGGAGAGAAATTCACATTCGCCCGTACTTTAGTCTTCATCCAGTGCATCATCAGTGCTATTTTTGCTAAACTCTGTGAGTATGAGCTTGAAATGCAGACCTCACCTTTATTTTATTGGCTTCTTCCAGTTCCCTCTCAAATGGTTTTATGTTATTGTATGTTTTGTATTGTTTCGTTCAACAGCATATGTTTATCGTATTCCTCATTAAAAAAAATTGTATGCACCAGGAATATGGGGGAGTGCATATGCAATTTCATGTTTTCGATGGTTTGAGATAAATAAATAAATAAAAATAAAAAATTGTCCTTATGTTGTGGCTCGCTGATGTATGTTTTTTTTAAATAATGTGTATCTTTATTGTCAGTAATCCAGTGTTTTGAGAGCTCCAAACCAGATCACACTACGAACTGGCTATATGGTTTGTGTTCTCTCTCTTATCTTGGAGCCATGGTGTCCAGCAACTCGGCACTTCTGTACGTCAACTACCCCACACAGGTGTGTGCTTTTAAAAGGAGCATCATTAATTCATTTAGACTAATGTGGATTTGTATATAAGCATTTATGCACGGATATTAACAAAATTCTCTTGTTTTTATAGGTGCTGGGGAAGTCCTGCAAGCCCATACCAGGTAAATCTCATCTAACTTTTAGTCAGTGTTCTATTTCGAACATCAAAAACATACTCTGTTTAAACTGCTGCTCATCTGCTTCTTTATGCAGGGATAAAAGTTGAATCACTTGGGAAACAAATACTTTAAAACACTTGTGTGATGCTCATGTCTTCTGTGAGCGTTTCTTACTCATTACAAGTAGTAATCATAATCACTGGTTCTGTCAGCCTTCATTTAAAAACAAAACAAAACAAAACAAAAAAAGGCTCAAATTTTAGGCTTTTCAGTGGTTCCTTTTTCAACATTGACCAACTTTACTCAAACTCCCCAGCATCCCAACTCTGTTTTTAAGTTTAAGCTCATTAAATGTGCCCTTGATCATTTAGAAAAGGTTTTTCTCAAACTCAGATCTGAGACATCGTGTTATGGGTTACATGATGACTGAAGGTTATATCCTGTCCCTCGTAGCTTTGTTATCTCTTGTTGCATTCAAAACACACACTTCACTCTGTCCCATATGCTTCACTCTCAGGGTTAAACGGCCTAGTTCTGTATTAAAGTAAAATCCACATGATCCACCATTTTTTTTTCTTCTTGTTGCAGTGATGATTCTTGGCGTAACGATACTAAGGAAGAAATATCCCCTGGCTAAGTACCTGTGTGTGCTGCTGATCGTGAGTGGTGTTGCTCTCTTTCTCTACAAACCCAACAACGGCTCAGCTGTGACTGATGACCATATTTTTGGCTTTGGAGAGATTCTGCTTGTGAGTTTTTTTTTGTCTCACTGATTGTCACACGTATCTGCCTTTTGTTGAGGTCACTGTGACCTCTCTGTTCTCACGTCTCGCTTGTTCGTCTCTGCTACAGCTGGTCTCTCTGACACTGGACGGCCTGACTGGTGTGGCCCAGGACCACATGAGGGCTCGCTTTCAGACCAGTGCCAACCACATGATGCTCAATATCAACATGTGGTCCATTCTGATACTGGGATTAGGTGAGTCCTCTTGTTTTTTTTATTTTCCTTTTGCCTTAGTTACATCAAATGAATTAATCACCTCTCTGATTTCTGTGAAAGAACAGACACTAATGAGCAGAATCACCTTGGAATGCTTAAGAACTACCAACATGAAACAGAAGCATTTCCTGCTCATATTTACATTTTTCAAAAGAAAAACATTTTGAAATTAAGCTTTTATAATTTCTTCTAACAATTTAACAATGATAGAATAAATGTATTATTTGCACTTAGGCCTAAATAGTTACCATTTCCCAAATATGACGAGTTCCGTTAACATGTTGCTTTTTCACTCATTTGCAACAATTTTGCATCATCAAAATGATGTTGCTGTTGATGCAATGGGCTGTTTTCTAAAAGCCAACGCCAGTTAACTTGTTCAACTTTGTAACGACAGAGTGAATCAACTCTGGGACGAGTTTTGCTTTGATCTACGGTGATTTATATAAATAAAAACAAACCAAAAGCAGCAGCATTTGATGCTGAAAATGAGCCCAATATCTGTGCAGCCAAATCTCATTAACTCAGTCAAGGCAAAGTGTTGAGTTTTATCGTTAAAAAGACAGGAAATCCTGCAGATCAAAGCCCTCGGTTCTGTGAAGAGATAACTATAATATGCTGAAGAGCAACACAGATAAAACAAACAGTTTTAATGATGAGCTTTTTAAACTTGGTCACTAATAAGCTGCAAGTTAAGGATCAGAAGGTCACAGTCGGGATGAGAAATGAGGCTTTTCCTCCTTAAACCGACTAACCAGCTGAATGATATCTCGGAGTCATTTTCCATCATTAATCAGTGTTTGCCTCTTTTTTCAGTTAAAGTGTGTTAGAAAATTATTCTTTAGGTTTCACAACAACCTTGATTTCCCCAAAAGTGCAGTTCGAGTCCAAGTTTAGTATTTTTCTTCCCTTAAAGCAAGTAACGGTATCCTTAGTATGAGGAAGAGTTTCCTCCTAATGCTTTTTGGAGACAGGTCCTGCAGGTTTAGCCAATGCCTTACCCCCCCCCCCCCCCCCCCCCCCCCCCACACACACACACACACGTGTTTGACTGTTGTTATCCAATTAAACCACATGGGGGTGCTGTGCACTTGGTTCGTGAACCCCGAACCCAGATGATATTTTTCCTCCTCACATTTTAAAATTATGTTGTGACATTCTAATCAATACCAGGCTTTATTTATCTTTTTTAATGGCATTGATTTTCTGTCTTTCTCCACCTTCAGCTGTGTTGTGGACCGGAGAAGTGTGGAAGTTCCTGACTTTTGCTGAACACCACCCGAGCATCTTCTACAACATTCTTTTGTTTGGTTTGACCAGTGCTTTGGGTCAGGTGGGTGGAGGAGACAAAGGGGGGATGAGGTCATTCAAAGAATTTTAAAAGTCCTATGCCATGTTTGATAATAACATGCATCGTTTTAATTAAAGATATATGATGATTGCTTACTTTCATTGCTTTGTCAGACCTTCATCTTTATGACTGTCGTGTACTTTGGACCTCTGACCTGCTCCATTGTCACCACCACAAGGAAGTTCTTCACCATTCTCGGCTCTGTTATTTTGTTTGGTAACGTCATGAGTGGGATGCAATGGCTCGGCACCATCCTGGTGTTCCTTGGTGAGATTTGGTTTTACTTAGGCTCTTAGTTCTCTGTGGATGTATTGCTTTGGTGGTTTTTTAAATCAATTTATTCAGTGGTGTGTAAGTCCCTTAGATCATTGTTAACATCTCTGGATTTCTCACTTCAGGTCTTGGTTTGGATGCAAAGTTTGGAAAAGCCCCAAAGAAAACCACACACTAAGAAACTTGCAGCACACAGGAGCAACAAGTGAACACTGCAAGAAAAACTCTTACTAGAATCCTATTTCCAGAAGATCTCGTATCCAGAATAACTGCTTGTTTTGTTAAATAGTGGTCTCATATTTAACTGTTCTTAAGAGACAGTTTGTTTTCAACTTTGATTTGTTAGCTGATGAGCTGAAGAGACGTGTGATACATCGGATCAAGCCCAGAGGGAACTGTGATGAGCCATCACCATGCCAACCACAAGCCTCTAAATGTATGTGGAAGAATTAAACTGGCTGTTCCACACAGATTGTACAACTGAATCCAGCTGACTTAAGCTCAACCTCTGAACATCTGTATGAGTTAAGTAGGCCTACAAATACATTTCCAGCATTGAACTAAAAAGAAAGTTTTACAAATCCAGTCTCGAATGTGTGCAACCATCACATTTTGTTTATTACTTTGAAAACAGCAAAGTCTGTTGGAAGAAATGTAAACAGTTGTATGTAGCCTGTTTGTCCAGTCTTACTATTATATTGTTTCTACTTTTATTTTCTTAAAACAACAAAAAACCTTACCATAAAGGGACATTCTTATAATCTCTTGTGGTTTTCATTTTTTCCATTTTAACTCCTTTTAAACTTGCTTTACATCAGTTATGAATCTAAATCATGATTATCTGTATTATTATATGAAGAAAACACCTTTGCATTAATAGTGAGGTTATTGATAGTTCGGCTGGCTTGGTTTAGAGCTACTGATACATGACCAGCTCTGACGGTCAGTCTAAAAGATCTCACATGCTGCACAGACTATAGATCAAACACTAGGAATGTAAGAAAATATCGATATAGCAATATATCGCAATATTTTTTCCTGTGATATATCGATGTTCAAAAGCTGTGTATCAATTTTTTTGGAAGAATTTACGTGCAAACATTTGTGTACTTTCTTTTCTTTTGGTGCAAATCAAATGCCGTCTGCTAGTCAGCAGTAGTGTGAATGGAGTTTGTTTCCACCACTGAAATGTTAATCCCTCTATTATGGTTCAGATACCTCATGTTAATCATGTTAAGTATCAGTTTGGACCATTTATTGAATTGTCCTACAATAATTTTAGTCTAAACAAATCGCTAATATTGTCCGGCTGAATGTATTGCAATATATCGTCATATATCGTATTGTCTCCCCTGTATCGTGATAAGTATCGTATCACCAGAATTTCACCAATACACATCCCTATTAAACACACTACTGTAATAATTAAAATATACTTGGACTAAGCAAATTCTAACCAATAATGTTAATTTCCGTTACTATACATAGAAGACTGATAACAAAACATCTAGGATGCAATCTTAAGGGTAGGGAAGGAAAAAAAGCCCTTAGCTAACCCGCATAAACAAATTAAAAGAAAACTTATTTAGAAATACATAAACTTTTAAACTAAAATTCAAAAGCAGAAATATTCTAACAATTTAACAAGACGTTAAAATACTTATAATGTGTTCGAAAAAAATCTAACTTATTCAATATTGTAGACGTTTAAAATGGGATTAAAAAAAATACCTGAACATCAATTTACCGTGGGAGCAGGGACTCGTTTAGAGCAGAGAGGCAGCGCCATGTATTTAAGTCACTAATTTTGCCAGAGTAAAATACTACATTAAAATAAAAATTGAAGCGACATAAAATCATATTATTAAATCTAACGACTTTCCTCAATATTTATTACCATCAGAAGAAATAACTGTTTTTCATAATGTGTATAGTAACAAAAATTATTTATTCAAAATCCCAAGTTTTATCAGGCACTATGCGTAGCTTCCTACGTGGTTTTATGTCTTTTCTTCCGCCCCCAACCTCACAGATTAAGTTGCGCATCGTTTTGGGAAATATCTGCGTGTAATCCTAGTTTTCTCACACAAATCGACCTCTTCAGGTGCCAGAATGCTCGCCATTGTTCGGAAACAGTTAAGGAGCCATCCAGCTGTAAGTACACACGCATTTTATTCAGTGAACACTCGTTTTCCACGATTCGTTCTCAAACGGGGGCCGTGAACATTTTGTTGCGTTGCTAATTTAGCTTAGCTGGACAGGTTAGCAACGCTAACCGATCATATGACCGCATATGAATGTTATCTATTAAAATTACGCATAACGTTGCATAACGTTGCACTTTAATAACCTATCCGCTAACCAGTAGAGGCTCGTTTTAGCTGCATTTATGGGCTAAAGTCGGTTGTGTAAAAATCTATTTCCTAACAGCTACATGCGTAGCTAAATGTTGTAGAAACCTACTATTTCTATGGAAGTTGTAACCTTCCTTTTAATATGTTCAAGGCTGCTCATCGTTTTACTTAAACTAATGTTTAATTAGTGTAAACAATAATACTGTTGTTACTGATGATATACTGCGCACATGGCGAATAGGCCTTTTTAAATGTAGGACACAAACTCTCAAGGACAAATACTCCGGGTTGTGTGTTTGGCTTCATGTCAGAGACTCCAGTCTGTTGACAAACCTGCAATCCTATTTGTGTGGTTATGTGTTGTAAATTGTGTTATATGATTTAAATTTAGTACTCTTCTTTTGCAATTTAACACTGGTATTAATGATTTCTGTTTGTTGTGTTTTAGCTGATTCCCCTTTTCTTCTTCATTGGTGGAGGAGCAACCATGTCCATGCTGTACCTGGCTCGGCTGGCCTTGAGAAACCCTGATGTTTGGTGAGAATTCTGTGGGGCAACCAAAATAATTAACTAGGCTCAAGTTGCACTCATGACCTTCTAACTGATGTTTTGTTGCTCCCTGCAGTTGGGATCGCAAGAACAACTCTGAGCCCTGGAACAAAATGAGTCCAACTGATCAGTACAAGGTATGTGTAGTGCCATGCAAGTAAAATTCACACTAATTATAATGTTTTGATGTGTTAATTCTCTGGAGTAACAGTACAGGTTGTATATTTGCTCTTTCATGAATCTTTGCCAGCGGCGCTGCAAATCTGTAGATAAGCCTTTCAACGGGATTGATCAAAGTGCCTAATCTGGTTAATGCTGACCAGTGCTAACAAATCTGATAAACTCATTAACTGCTGAAGCCTGATCAAAAATAGTTTTTCTACAAAAAGGGAAGCTATATTTAAAAGTAACTGGAGTAATGTTCATAATTTATGTAATTTTGTGGCGTTGTCTCTGAACAAGCTGTAAAAACTTATTTTTTGTATTTTCTGTGAGATGTGCTTGTTTGAGCTAAAACTTGTTTGTCCTTAGTTCTTTACAGTAAACATGGACTACAGCAAACTGAAGAAGGACCGGCCAGATTTCTAAAGATCAACAAGAAGCCCAGCCGTCGGTTAAACTGCACAAATGATCCCACGGTGAACAGGATCTGAGAATTAGAAGCTAAATCCGCACAGCTCATATTTAAGCTTCTTCATTAAACCCATGGCTTTTGAGACTGATCATTTATTTTCATTTGTTTATTCAAATAAAGAGTTTTCCAACTCCATTCAGAGTAAAACCATCTCATTTTGCATCGTGTTGCTCTTGAGCATGCTGCACAAACTTATGACATCACTTTTCACACTTTTCTGTTTGTGCTTGTATTTATTTGCACCATGCTTTGCTAATTACATCTTATGCTTTGCTTTCACCCTAATTAACATTTGCCCTATCTTACCCCTGCTACTATTTACACAAATCTTGGCTTTTATCTAAATTTTTATCAGGATGAAAAAGATTAGACTTGAAATTGACTCCATCTCAACGCTAGGTTCCCTCTGGTGGAAGCTGTGCCTATAGGGAACACAAGATGTGATCAGAGAAAAATAATTTTTAGTTTAACATGTATAAACTTTGCATTAGTGTCTCAAACTTGTCAGCTTCAGTTACTCTTAATGCAAAAACTTGACATGTTGCAAAGCCGCATGTTTGTATGATACAGAGACGTCAGGATGTGGGATTTTGGAAGTGCTTTTTTTATTCTTAAAAGGACGTTATCTCCCTCAGCCAGATGACTTTGTAAATGTCACAGGGTCGTGTTGTTCCTTCTGCAGCTTGGAGAGGCGTCAGGGATGAGCAAACGGTGCTTTGCAGAAGATGTCAAGTAGAACTTCATATTTGAATAGAAGCCCACGTCTGAGGCTCAACCCATCCTCTTCGTAGCGGGAATGCTCCACACTTACGTATTTTTATATTCCTCTTTAGCTTGGGGAATTGGGAGTTATTTTCCGGTGCAGAATTCAACAGATTAAATGAGAGAAACTGTTGTTGTGGACAAAATGTTGACTCAGCTTCTTCCTACTGATTCATCACTTAGGTTAAAACAACCTGGTTTAAGGGAGGACATTAATAGCAAAGTGAAAGTGGTGTGAGTTGGGATAGGGAACACAAGATGGCTTCTAGAGAACAATTTGAATAGATGTAGCTGGACTCGGGAGATTTTACTTTAAATCAGGACAGGATAAATAAACCTTGTTTTTTTTTACAATTTCATAAGTAATAGACAAGGGCTTCAGTTTTCCAAAAATACATTAAATAAAATCTGATAAATCATTTTGTATTTCAACATTTATCAATAAAACAAATCCACAAACTGTTGTCATAATTTTTAATTATGCTCAAGTTCAACTGTTCTAACTTTAATTTACAACCACAAAAACAAGTTCTTGTTGATGTCTGAGCCAAATAACATCCTGAGAGGATACATTTACACTGGGATCACTAGTTTTTGTTTTATGTTGGTAGTTCTGAATCATTTCATTTTAGAAATCCTCAAGTTGGTCTATTTTAAAAGGTTTTTACGATAATTTCATATGTGAAGTACTTCATCAGTGCTTATTTAAAGTTTCAGATCTAAATGTGAAAACATAAATAACTTGATATTAGGTCCATGTGGTCAGACCCATTATAGCTGGTGGATCAGCTTCTCTAAGCTCCAGAGAACAGGAGGTATCAAAAGTCAGCGTTTGGACAGCTGAGGGGGTACCAGTTCAAATGGTTTTATTGCAGTCTGAGGAATCCAGCTGAACTGACCAGCATCTTAAACCCCTCCACCTCGCTGTGACCCCTGATCCTGTTGCATCAAGCCTTTTAGTGCCAGGCTGTAAAAGTAACAGAAAAATATAATAATGAAAAAATAATTAGAGGTGTGGGGTAGCAGCAGCAGCAAAGACTTGGTGAAGGCTTTTACCTTCGGTCAGGCAGTCAAGTAACGTGGGAGTGCAGAGAATCAAGCAGCAGTTAGAGCAGCAAAGCCCTGACCAAAACATCTTTCTGCAGTCCTCAGTGTTGTCTCATAGCATGGACGTGGTAGAATGACTAATAAAATTACCATTTACAGGTCAAACTGGAAGAATGAGAAACTGGTGCAAAAGTCCATTCATGTCAGTTACCCACCTTAGACTGAGAAACCACCTAAAGGCTCAGGACCCCGTTGCAGGTGTTCTGGATTCATTAGCTGATTAGAGTGAGACACTTTGAGTCTAGAATACTGAACCTTTTCACAATATTCTGAGATTTTGAATGTGGGGTTTTCATAATGCTGCAGCCATAATTATCAGACTTCATATATTTGGCTTTGCTTAGAATGAGTCTGTCTTACATATCAGTTTAAACTTTTAAGTTGAATTACCAGAATGAATGAACTTTTGCACCACATGACATTTTCTCCACATTTCCACAGCAGGTTTGAATTCTATCTGTAGGATTCAAAAACTTGAGGATCATGAAGAAATCAGGTGACATTTAACTTGAGGTATTACTGCTTTTTCAATGGAACTATTACAACGGAAGAGAGTAGAATACATTAGATGCACTGTAATAATTGAAATGTTGAATTTACTTAACCAAGTTATTTCAACTGGTTCTACTAAACCTAGTTGACTAAACGTAAGGAGTATTATATACTTACCTTTAACATAGTATATTAAAAGTAGATCAGTTGACATAACTTGGTTAAGTACATTCAACATTTCATTTCTTACAGTGTAACAGGTTGATAATGAAACATTTAAAATTATTTATTTTTATTTTTCAGTGGAATAAAAAAGTATTTTTTTTTCCATTTTCTTCTTTGTGTCGGGCTTGTCTATAGGGTATTGTTCAATTATCTTTGTATTTTCAGACAAAACATACTTATTAATGCATGGAAAATGAATAAATAAAGAAATTAATCACCTTTTTCACTAACATTAGCCGTGTGAAAAAATGTAACCATTTCTCACCCTGATTTTGAGTGACTCAGTCTTTGTCATTCATTGGCAAACTTATTTGTCCTTCGTTCTTTCTCAAGAATTTTTTACTTTCATTACACACACACACACACACACGCACACACGCACGCACGCACGCACACACACACGCACACACACACGCACACAGAGTTTGACATAGAAGTTTTATTCCTACCAGATCGTATTGATCCTTGAGCCTGCTCACTGAGGATGACAAAGTGGATCGGCAGCAGATGCACAAAAAGGTCAGGGTTGTCAATGTATTTTTGCATGAGGGATTGAGTATGGATGCTGCAATTTAAGAGCCATTTCAGCAGGAATACCACAGGAATTAATCATGTCCGATATCTCAGGGACAGAGGCGGTGTGAGCGTGCTTTATGTGGTGTTCCAGGGCATGCATCACTCACTTTGGGGCCAATTCAGAGCTGGAATGGCTGCATGGTTAGAGACGGTCTCATAAATACAAGGTCTCAGATTTGATTCCTGAAACAGAGAATGAGTCTTGTCCTTGAGGAAGACGGTAAAGCCCTCAGGACAAAATGTCTAACAAAGGATGTGCAGGTTAAAGTGTGATTAATGTGATTGTTCGGTCAGGGTACAAAGACACAAAGTACGATGACAAAAACAAGCATACACAACAGATCCAACTTCCTATCATCCTGAGGAAATCTGCTTTTTTTTTTAGCATGGTGGGAAAGCAGGTCAAAATTTAAATAGCTGAAAATAGAACATCTGGAAGGGCCTTGTCAGTCAGCAGTGCGTAATGAAATATGGAAATTGGGGCGCTCATCAAAGAGATGCGGGCCTCTTATTGCCGTCCTGGGTCTCCAGCAGGCCCCTCAGCAGCCCCGCCGGAGCCCCACCCCTCTGAAACGTGTGCTACATTTCCAGGTGCTGCTGCTGTGGCCTGGTCTGCCGCTAGTGCCAGCTCATTAGCGCTCAAAGCCTGGCGGAGATGGCAGCTGGCATCATTAAACTTCAAACCGGCTTTCGACCCAGGGTGCCGCCACAGGGAGAGACCGCCGGCTCATCCGCCTGCCAACAGCTGATTAGAGCCACGCTGACACCAGCAACCAGAACCTAACAGCATTCACACACACCACCAATACACTCAACCAAGAGCTTATCCACACACCATCAGCTACATCACAAACAGTCCAAAACAAACACACACACACACACACACACACACACACACACACACACACACACACACACACACACACACACACACACACACACACACACACACACACACACACACACACACACACACACACACACACACACACACACACACACACACACAGACATATCCAAAACAAAGTCGGTGCCCGTCATGTGTGCAGACACGATTGGTGATTGTGCAGGAGGGTTGACGAGGACAGAGAGCATCCCATGAATCTTTACCTTTTATGTTCATACTGAGCAGAACAGTAGGATACTCATTACTGTTAAAGTTTTAATAGAATCGTCAATGTCTTTTCCAAAAGTGTTTTAAAGCTCAAAAAATTTATTTTCTGCTGTGAAAATCCAGTTCTGCATTGTGCAACACAACTGAACACTTTGTTTATTAACATGACACTAAACATTATTTTCACAACAATTCCAAGACAAGATGAGACAAGACAGCTCCTTTTGTTCCTTATTTCTCTTATAAACCTTGCATAATAAACCTCTTTTTACCCTTTTACGACAAGCGCAAGGGTTGAGTCCTTTAAACACAAGGGGTGTTACGCCCCGACCACACAGATTCCTCTACCGGGACGTAACATACATGGGGGCTCGTCCGGGATATATTCTCTATGTTCCTTGTGGTGTGGTAAGGAAATTAAAATTCCCAAAGCAAAACATTTTGGGTTTATCTTTCAGAGTCATAGTCTGGTTCCTGTAAGGGCTCCTTTTGATTTGCAGGCTTTTGTGGAGGCCCCGTCTTGTCAGCTCCTGTAGAGTTGCCGTAAAGCCGATTTACAACAGATAGCCGCCCACTTCAGTATTATAGTGCCGAAACAACTTTCAAAAGAGGAACTGAGAAAATTTGTGGGGGAGTATTTTGAAGCCCAAGGGGTGTTGCTTCCGTGTTCGGATCCTGACCCAAGTGGTCCACCATCTTCACCCCAGTAACTGGGACAGACTAATCCTCTGGGGCCTCCGGAGGCAGTGGACCTTCTTCCTTCGCCTTCATCTTGTCATGTTCTGGGGCAAATGTCTAACCCAAGACATGCAGAATCAGGAGACGGACTCAAATTGAAGGAAAAAATAAATATTTTATT